TAAGAACCTGAGCAGCTTCCCGACAAGAAAGCCAAAGGACATTCCTGAGCTAAGCAGAGGACCTGGTGAGAGTCCCACAGCCACACCATGTGGCATGAGAAGCCGGGAGCTTGACATAGTGAACTCTCAGGCCACCACCCTCTCTATCCAGGGCCAGCTACAGCAACCTGGGCCCTTATTCAAACATGGTCATGGATCTTAGGATGGTGTCAGCAGAGGTCCTGAGCAGGAGGACCCCAGGGGACTCCTCGTGCTGGGGCAAGAAGGGACTCACCAGCTTCTGGCCCAGGCTCCCAGGGGGCAGTAGGAGAGGCTGGAGGAGGTGAACCGCCGGCTGTCCCTAGGGTCTGGCCCCCCGTGGTGGAAAGTGGCCTGGTTGCCACCTCCCTGGGTGCTGAACTGTTGCTGTCCACAGCAGGGGCCGTGGGGGAGCCGAGGCCAAGGGGCATGCCTGAGGCAGAAGGAAGCCATTACCACCACTCCCGCCTCCAGACGTCCCCACCCAAGCCTCCCGTCCCTGAGTCCCAGACCTGGGGAGAGAAGCTGTGGGTAGGAGTAAGGGAACAGAGAGGGCAGGAAGTGGAGATAGCCTGGTGGTGATGGGAAGAGGGAAGCTGCTTCTGTGGGGGCAGGAGGCAGGGCGGGGAGGGCCGCCCAGGCTGAGGCTCAGCCTCCGCACTGCTGGCATTGGGGGATGGATCATTCTCTCTGGGTTTGGGTTGAAGTGTCTATTGCACTACAGGATGTTAAGCAGTGTCCAGCCTCTGTCCACCTCCAGTAGCACCACCTCCAGTTGTGACTACCAGAACTGTCTCCAGACTGCCCGGTGCCCCCTACGGGAGCAAAACAGCCCCCAGTTGGAAACCTTGCTGTAGAATGGGCTAGAGGATTGAGGGAAGTGGGAGGTTGGACAGAGCGACTGAATGCAGAGGGACAACTGCACCCCCACTTCCTGCCCAGTGCCTGCCCTCCCCGGGTCCCCCTCGAGCCCCTCACCATCACACACGGCCCCAGCGTCCTCCCGGTGGTGACAGTCATGCTGGCCCCAGGGCCTGGCTGGGCAGAACCTCAAGGCTGTCTCATTTCCCCGACAGCGCAGGTCATCCAGGGTGATGGGGCCAGTCCCCTCTCCAAAGAAGGCACCCCCGGGGGCGGCCAGCGCCCCCCCACAGCCCAGCTCCCTGCAGGCCACGGCAGCATCCCGAAGGTCCCAGGCGTCATCACACACTGACCCCCAGCGCCCACCATGCCAGACCTCCAGGCGGCCAGCACAGCCGTGGGGGCCATCGGCCAGGCGCAGCCGGGGGGCGGGTCCTGGATAGCAGGAAAGGAGGTCAAGAAGACAGGAAGCTAGGATGGATGAGGGACCACCAAGTTCTGATGGGAAACTGAGGGGCGAGGGAGGGCAGGAGGGAGGGCAGGAGGGCAGTCCTGCACAGCTCCTTGGTGTCCGCCTTCTCCGGGTTCCGTCACAGGTCCCAGAGGGGAGTGGCCTCCAGGAGACAGCTGGACACTCTGTTGGGTGGGGGTAGGGTGCTGCCCTGGCCCTTCAGCTGTCCCTCCCATTTCCCCAGGAGAGTGGCTCCAATGCAGAGGGAGAGACCTGGGGCCAGGCTCTTGGCAGCTTCCTAGACGCAGGCAGAGGGAGCTGGGGTCTGGGGAAGGTGGGGACAGGACAGCCCCAGCCCCAGCGTACCAGTGCACACCAGACCAGCATCCTCACTGTGGTCACAGTTGCTCCGGCCCCAGGGGCTTCGGGGACAGTCCCGGAGGGCCCGCTCTCCTCCTCCACACCCCACATCGTCCATCCACACGGGCCCCGCACCAGGCCCAAATCTGGAGCCCCCGGGGGCGGCCAGCGCCCCCCCGCAGCCCAGCTCCCGGCAGGCCACAGCAGCATCCCGAAGGTCCCATCCATCGTCACACACGGTGCCCCAGCGCCCGCCATGCCAGACCTCCAGGCGGCCGGCACAGCCGTGGGGGCCTGAAACCAGGCGCAGCCGCTCTGGGTAAGGACAGACCAAGAGGGAGAGGGACAGTGAGGGGCTCCTCTGACTGCAGCCTGGGGGAAGCAGATCCAAGCCCCCTCCTCGGTAAGCCTGGGGGCCCTGCAGCCTAGAAAGGCGTGGCCAGAGCGGGCATCTCCAACAGGGGAGGGCGGGAGGAAAGGGGAGGCCGGGCCTGTGCAGGTGCAGTGAACACAGGGGCGGGGCTGGAGGGTCCTCAGTCTAGCCAGGTCTCAGAGCATCCGGATGTTGGGGGGTCTGGAGGGGCTTACCTTGGCGTGGGGCTCCAGTCAGCAAAGGCGCCCGGGTGGACTTGGCTGGCTTGGGTGGCCGGAGGCTCTTCTTCCGGGGGCCATTCTGGGGGATCCCAGCTGGGCGAGGGACTAGGAGAGGACACAGGAGGACAGGTGCTGAGCTGTCCATCCTTCCTGTCCCCAGGGGGCCAGCACTCCCTTCCTGAGGACCTAAAGTGACAAAGTGCTCCTGGGTTGTGCCAGGGGACCTTGGTACTGGCTGAAATGGGAGCAGGGGCACAGGATGGGCATGCACAGCCTCAGCCTTGGGGCTCACCCTGGGTCACGGGGGGCTCCTCAGAGCCGGGGCGCAGCCCCCCAGACAGCTCTGGCCACAGACCTCCATCTGGGGGGGAAGCGGAGTCGTCCCTGGAGGTCGCCACTCGCTGGCCTATGGGAGAGGACAGAAGCTGTGAAGGGGTGGGGGAGCAGAGGCCACTTGCCCCATGGGACAGGGCCCCGCATGCCCTGGTGTCCTGGGGCTCAGAAGTAAATGCTCGTCAGCTGAGGGTCCCAGAAGGAAGGAGACACATGGCGCTAGGGAGGTCTCGTGGCTCTAGGGAGGCCAGGGGTCAGGTTCTGCAGGACGGCCCGTCAGCTCAGACATCCGGGGGTGCAGGACTCGGGCCCCTGGGCCATCTCAAAAGAGCTGCCCATAATGGAAGAGCGGTTCCCTCACCTGCACAGACGACGCCGGCGTCCTCCTCGTGAGAACAGATGTGGGCCTTCCAGCCCCGGTGGGGGCAGAGGCCCAGCTGCCCCTCGCTGCCCCGGCAGGCCAGCTCGCTGAGCCACACAGGCCCTGCGCCCTCCCCGAAGAAGGCGCCCCCGGGGGCGGCCAGCGCCCCCCCGCAGCCCAGCTCCCGGCAGGCCACAGCAGCATCCCGAAGGTCCCATCCATCGTCACACACGGTGCCCCAGCGCCCGCCATGCCAGACCTCCAGGCGGCCGGCACAGCCGTGGGGACCGTCAGCCAGGCGCAGCCGCTCTGGGGGCAGAGGGAAGGCTGTGACTCCTACCAAGGAGGCCACAAGGCAGGACCAGAGTGAGGCAGGCCCGGGGACTACCCCACAGGGCCCATCAGGAAACCAGCTGCTGCCCGGGACCCTCCTCGTGGACTCCTGGGTACTCAGACAAAGGCACCTGAGGCGCTGGTCCCTGGGGCCTGGTCAGTCAGAGTGCAATGGGGGTGGCCAGGGACCCAGCAGGAGGGCGAGACAGATGGGGAGGCTTCTCGATGGGCGAGGCCAGAGGCCAGCAGACGGGAGGAGAGTTGGGAACTTACCAACAGCCTGGATCCCCACCAGTGCTGCTGCAGGGGGGTGGACAGAACAGAGTGAGGGACAGGCCCGGCCCTTCCCCAGCCTACACACACCAAGACACACCAAGACACACCCAGGCTTCTCACACCTCCGAACCAGACACCCTGCTGCTGGGAAGTGGACTGGGCAGAGACTGGGACAAGACAAGAGGTCCCTGTGGTGGGTGGAGCCCCAGATGCCTGGTTCCTGAAGTCAGGCCTGGGACCAGGGGCGGGTGATCCCCCACCAGGTCAGGGCTAGGGCATGGGGGTGGGGGGCAGGTCCCTTGGGTTGCTGAGGGTGGGACAGGACATGCAGAGGGCTGGTTCCCTGCGGGGCTAGGCAGCCAGATGCCAGGGTAACCCAAAGCACCAGGACTGGGCGCTGGACTTCTCAGTCCCTAATCTGGATGCGCTAAGGGGTCAGAGGTGGGCCCAGGCCCTGTGAGTCCCCCGGGAGAATAGGTCACTCACCAAGGAGACAGGCCAAGACCTTCATGTTTGCAGAGTCCGGGGCAGGGGACGGGGTGAAGGGGAAGAGGGCAGGAGGGCAGGAGGGGAGGAGGGGAGGTAGGGACGAACCGAGGCTCCCTGGACCCGCAGAGGAGCGGGCCGGCTACAGGCTTTGCCAGGAGCAGAGAGGCTGCAGGGAGGCGGCAGGGGACAGGAGGGGGAGGGGGCTGGCCCAGCTGAGGCGTGGGGAGAAGGGGGGAGGCGGGCGGGAGGGGGAGAGCGTCCAACTGCAAACACCCACACGGAGGAGACCAGGCAGGCTCGCCAGCGCACCCTGCGCTCAGAGATGCTTAGGGGATGGCAGGCTCAGGGAAGGGACTGGACTCCAGTGTCTGGAAGACTGCAAGGGAGGGGACACACCCTCCTGCCTCCTCTCTTGTCCAGCCATGGGAGTGTGGCTGTGAGTGGGCAGATCTAGGGCACTCCTGCAGCAGCAAGAGGGCTTGCAGCCAGACATCAGAAGGGACTTTCTGGATTCGGAAAAGAAACTGAGAAAACCCTCTTTTCATTTGACAGCCCGACTGGTGGACCTGAATGTAAAGCCCTCAGGCCCCATCTGAGGGAGGAGAGGCTGAACTTCAGAGCCCCCAGAAAGAAGAGGCAGACAGGGTCAAGGCTTGGGGGAGGGGGAGGGAGCTACACACACACACACACACACACACACTCTCTCTCTCCTCTCTCTCTCTCCCCACACACCAGGCAGCAGCGAGGGGAAAAAGTTGGTAATGGGGAGGTGACTCAGAAGCCTGGCAGGGCGGCTGCGTGAGCTCACTGCCCCCTTCCCCAGCCCAGCACCCCCCACTCCACCAACACACACAGCAACTGGCGAGAGGAGGAGCCAGCCAGGCAGAAGGGCCAGCGGGGTCCAGAGGCAGGCTGGAAAAGGCATCAGGACGAGGCCGCACACAGCAGTCTCAGGCTTTATTGACACACTGTAAGGACCAGACAGAAGGACGCACAGGAGCTGTGCCCACCAGCCCCACCCGCTCCCAGGGAGGCCTTGTCCCAGGCACCCTGCCTCAAGTCCTAGCTCGCTCAGGGCGAGCTTGTGGCCGCTCCGTCCCTCCCCAGAGCTCCCCCAGGGCCAGCAGCACAGACAGCACAGCTCTGCAGACAAAGCAGGGAGATTCTCAGTGCAGACAGAATCTGAGGCAGGGGCTTGACAGGTTGACCTCTGATAGCCCTCGGAGCCAAAGGGGAGAGGAATTTGTTCCACACTGGACACTGCAGGCTGGCGGCAGGTGGAGGGGTGGGTGTCTAGGTCTGCAGTCCTCGCTGGGGCACAGGTGTGCTGGGGTCACCGAGGCATGGATGTGACAGTGCCCGGGCACAGCAGGAGCGTTGAGTGCTGGCGTCCCCCTGCCCCAGGTCTGCAGTCACAGGTCTTTGCTGAACTCCCTCACCAGTGTGTAGCCCATGCAGCCCCAGCCCCCCTCGGCCTGATAGCCACAGCCCTCCAACAGCCCTGCCACCCCCCAGGCAGCCACGGCCACGGGGACCACAAGCCGGGCCCGGGGCTCCCCCATGCCCCCTGCCCAGGCTCGAGCCCGAGACTCAGCAAAGGCTAGGAGCCTCCTACCCACTCCCCTGCGGCGGTGCCAGCGTGAGACAGAGAGGCGGGTGACCCGGGCTCCATCCCCCGCATTGGTGCCAGGGGCCAGGGCCAGGACTCCACACACATCGCCAGAGCCCCTCACGGCCACCCAGGGCCCCCCCAGGCCTCCGGGAGGAGGCAAGGAGCCCCACCAGGCTCGCAGGCCTAGCTTCACTGCGGCCACAGCCAGGAACACAGGCAGCAGGAGGGCCAGGGCGAAGGAGGCCAGGACGAAGCGCAGGCCGCTGCTGGCTGCTGCCAGGAGAAGAAGGGCCGGGGGCCGTGTCAGAGCATGGAGGGCCACACGGTTTTCCGTGTCCTTTACGCCAGCCTGTGGGTAGGGGTGGGGCTCAGCCATCCAGAACATTAGCGCCCCCAGGACCAGGAAAGGAGGTGGACCTGTCCAGGGCCAGAGTGGGGGCTCCCTCGTGAGGGGGCAGGCAGCTGACGGGGTGGGCACACTGGGTGTGAGTAAAGGGTGAGGGATGGGTGGATGGGGAAGGCTGATATGGAGCTGTGGGCACCTTCCAGCGGAGGTCCCAGAGCCAGGCTTCAGGGAAGCACTCTTGAAGGACAAGGAGGCCCGACAGGACAGAAAGGGGAAACCGAGGCTACCGGCTCTGCTCAGGAGAGTCTGGGGTGGGAGGCAGGCAGGGAAGACTAGGAGTTGGGGCTGGGGTGCTGGACGCAGCACCCTGCCCCCTGGGACCCCCATCTGCTAAAAGCCGGGGCAGCTGAGGCCAGATGGGGAGAAGGCACTGGAGGAAAGGGCACAAGCCGCTTAGGAGGAAAAGCCCCCGGCGGTGGCGTGGGTGGACAAGGCCGCCCCTGCCCGGCTCAGGCGTGGCGTGGGTGGACAAGGCCGCCCCTGCCCGCCTCACCTCTCTCACCTTGAGCATCTCCAGCACCAGGGCTTTCTCATCCTCCCTCATCTCCCGCACAGACAGGTGGCTGGGGGCCATGGCAGCCCCCAGGCCACCGCCCCCAAAAGGGAGCTGGCGTAGTTTGTGCACCTGCTGGAAACACAAGTAGGTCAGTACCAGGTGGGTGCCTCTGTCCCCAAAGCCTCCCGCGGGGCGAGCAGCAGCGGCAATTTCCAAATCGGGTACCGAGGACCCTCGGGGTCCCTGAGCGAAGGCCGTGTCAGGATAGGTCCCCCCTACCCAGTGACCTTCCTAAAGTCTCCCTGATCCCCCTCCCCATGGTCAGCGATCCGCCCCTAATCAGGCTGTGGACGCGAACACCTTGCAGCACGGTCCCTCCCAGGCGCCGGGACTGCCCCGGGGGTCCACGAATACCCCGGGACCCACTAGAGGAGGGGCCGCGCTCCCCCCGCCCCGCCCCCGCGCCCCGCGCCCCGCGCCCCGCGCCGCGCCAGCGAGGATCGGCGAGCACCTCCTCGGGCGCTCCGATCCCTAGACAAGGTGCTGGGGGAGCAGGGTCAGGAGGGGGTCGCCGGCGGAAGTGACGTCCACACTCGCGCTCGGCTGGGCGGGGCGGCGCCGACTCCGGGCCTTAGCAACTGTTGCCAAGCGTCTCCGGGGTTGAAGGGGAGGCGGCGGGAACCGAGTGCGCTAGGGTGGGACCGGGGCAGCGAGCCGGACCGCTGGAGGTGGGTGGAGGCGACCTATCCTAGCCTGGAGAAGGAACAAGGGGGGAAAGGACCTGGGGCCGAACGGGAGCAGAGGCCAGCAGGGAGGTGGTGGGAGTAGAGACGAGCGTCTGGGAGAAGTACTTACTGACCCCCAGCGTTCGCAGTTTCCTTCACGACGGTCCCTCGTTGCTAAGCGACCTAAGCGCGGGAGGAGACGGCGACCGCAACCGCGACGCCAGTACATCGATTCCCATTGGTGCTGGGACCTTTGCGGGTGGGGTCCGGGGCCCCCACCTCAATCCCTGGGGGCGCCCTGACAGTGCCCTTCGGGATAAAAGATCTACCCCCCACCCATTTTTCAGATGAGGAGAGAGGGCGAGTGACATCCAGCAAACAAGAGGCAGAACCGGTATTCTAATGCCTCCCAGCTGGAGACCAACCATGGCATCACCACCAGCTAACCCTAACCCTTTTAGTGAATAGGGAAAGAACTCCATAAAGAACAGTGGCTGGTCCAAAGACGCAGAACTCTTGAGAGCCAGGAAGCAGAAGTAAAGACTCCAAGACTAGGCTGGGCACAGTGGCAAACGCCTGTGATCCCAGCAGCTTGGGAGTCTGAGGCAGGAGGACTGACAGTTCAAAGCCAGCGTCAGCAATGGCGAGGCGATAAGCAACTCAGTGACTGCAGTGTCGCTAAATAAAATATAAAATAGGGCTGGGGATGTGGCTCAGTGATCAAGTGCCCCTGAGTTCAACCCCCAGTTCCAAAAAAAAAAAAAAATTCCAAGACCCCAGATGGAGGCCATAGCCTGACTGCTCCCTGTCTCCTGCCCACCCCCCAAGAGGAAAAAAAAAAAAAAAAAACAGAGAGGAGATTCTGGGTCTTTATTAGCACGCCCAGCCTACAGCCCCCTTCTCCTGGGGCTAACCCCAGCTCAGCCAAGGAAAATGAGTTAGGAGTCTCTGTGTGGGGTGGACAGAGGCGCCAGTCCTCAAAATGTGTGCACCAGCTGGACTGCTGGTAGGGTCTGCACGATTTGGATAGAGGGCACGCCCTGTGAGGTCATGACCCCAGGCCCAGCCCCTGCGGGGACCACTTGCACCATCTGGGAGGTGGGAACAGCAGGCATCCCTGCGGGGGTAGAGACTGGGCCAGGTGGTGGTGGGGCCAGAAGTTGCAGTGTGGCAGCGCCTCCTCCAACACTGCTGTTCTCCAGCAGTTCAGCCGCTGGGGCACTGCGGATGATAAGGAGTTTCTGCCCCGGCGGGCCAGGGGCAGGTGGCTCTGTCAGTCCGGGGGGAAGGGTCTCTACCTCCTGCACACAGAGCCGGGTCTGCTCCCCATCTGCTCCGCTCAGCACCAACACGCTCTGCAACCCCTCATCCGTCTGCAGTGTTTCAAAGAGGACATCCTGGACCACACCCGTGCTAGCCTCACTATCCGCTGCCTCCCCAGGACCTGGCCCAGTTAGCAATTCCTCAGCTGCCCCACTCTGAACCACCAGCAGATTGGGGGCCTCAGCAGTCACAGCTCCTCCACTGGAATTAGAAAGCTGGCCTGCCAGGGGTTGGAGCTGGACCGTGGTCACTTCCTGTGCGGGCTGGAGCTGGACCGTGGTCACTTCCTGTGCGGGTTGGAGCTGGACCGTGGTCACTTCCTGTGCGGGCTGGAGCTGGACCCCACTCACTTCCTGGGGTCCTGCTTCCCCACCCCCTACATTCTGCAGAACAATGAGGCTCTGCCCTGCCCCGCTGGCCCCTGCTCCACTCCCTCCCTGCACCCCTAGACTCCCAGGGCCTGGCAGCCAGACTACCCCTGTCCCAGGGCTGGCTTTCCCTGCTGCGCGAGGGCACTGCCTTGCACGGCTGCCCCCGCTCCCAGCACTGGAGGGCAGCAGGATGAGCTTAGGTGCAGGTGGGGGCGGAGGAGTAGGGGGCTGGACGCTGCTAGGGATCAGCTGGAGACCCTGGGCAGTCTGCACCAGGAGAAACGTCTGGGAGTTGGGAGCCCCTGGGCCCGGGGGCGGGACCTGGGCTGTGCCCCCAGCCACTTCGAGGGAAAGCGTGGCTTGGAGGTGAGGGAGAACATGGACATCTTGGGTGGCCAGTGAGGCCGGGGCTGCAGCCAGTGGGGCCTGGGGCTGAGAGCTTGGGGCAGCGGAGGCTGTAGTGCCGGAAGCCGTGTTGGCTGGGGCATGCGTCCTCAGATGTCGCTGCAGATAGGCGGCCATGACAAAGCCGCGACCGCAAATGGGGCAGGCAAAGGGGCGCTCGGCTGAGTGGGTGCGCTGGTGCAGCAGCAGGTTGGAAGAGTGGGTGAAGGTCTTGGGGCAGAGCGGGCAGCGGAAGGGCCGCTCGCCCGTGTGCACGCGCTGGTGCTGCCGCAGGTTGGAGGTCTGGGCGAAGCTCTTGCCGCACACGCTGCAGGTGTGGGGCCGCTCGCCAGTGTGCACATGTCGGTGGCGCCGCAGGCACGACGTGTTGCGGAAGGCCTTTCCACACTCGCTGCAGGCGTAGGGCCGCTCGCCGGAGTGTAGCCGCAGGTGGTACTGGTAGTGAGATGACCACTTGAAGGTGAGGCCGCACTGGCCACAGGTGAAGGCCCGCAGGCCTGTGTGTACGCGCTGGTGGATGGCCAGCAGCGAGGAGCGCTTGAAGGCCTTGCCACACTCACCGCACTGGTAGGGCCGCTCACCGGTGTGGTCTCGAAGGTGGTACCGCAGCCCTGAGGAGCCCTTGAAGGCCTTGCCGCACTCTGCACATTTATATGGACGCTCTACAGAAGCCACGGCAGGCGGGGGAGGAGGCGGGGCAGGAGCAGCAGAGGCCATAGGCTCCTGGGGACAGGTGACCTCGGCAACCTCAGCCTGGGGGGGTGGGCGCCCAGCCGCAGCCTCTTCCACGTGGCATTGCTGGTGCGCCAAGAGGCTGGCCAGCTGCGGGAAAGCCCCGTCGCAGCTGCCGCAGCGGAAGGCCTGTCCCCCAGCTGCCCCATGGCTATGCTGGTGTCGGGAGAGGCCTGCCACCGTGCGGAAGGATTTTCCACAGGGAAGGCAGGCAAAGCCAGGAGCAGTGACAGGAGGGGGCTGCGGCAGAGGGGACGTCGGGGACAACGACGCAGGGGGCGCATCATTGGGCGTCTCCGCAGGGGCATCCTGGGGCTGGGGAGCAGGCCCGGGGCACGGCTGGTGCTCCAGGAGCAGCTCCTCGCTGCCAAAGCCTTGCTCACAGCCATCGCAGCGGTACACCAGCTCCACCGTGGTCTCAGCTGCCGCCAGAAACAGCTCGGGCACCACTGGCGGAGGCTGGGGCGGCGGGGCGGGGGGCGCGGGCGGGCTGCTGGACGGCAGGTGGCGCTGCAGGTAAGCGTCTGAGACCAAAACCTTGCTGCCCGCGCAGGGTTCACCAGGCGTGGGGGGCGGGGGGACGGGGGTGGTGCCGGGGGCGGTGCCCGGGGCGGGGGCGGGGCCGTGGGTGCGCTGGTGCAGCAGCAGGTTGGAGGAGTGGGTGAAGGTCTTGGGGCAGAGCGGGCAGCGGAAGGGCCGCTCGCCTGTGTGCACGCGCTGGTGCTGCCGCAGGTTTGTGCTCTGCGTGAAGCTCTTGCCACACACGCCGCAGGTGTAAGGGCGCTCGCCAGTGTGCACGTGCCGGTGGCGCCGCAGGCTGGATGAGTTCTTGAAGGCCTTGGGGCAGTCGAGGCACAGGTAGGGGCGCTCACCCGTGTGCTGCCGCAGGTGGTACTGGTAGTGGGACGACCATTTGAAGGCCAGGCCGCACTGGCCACAGGTGAAGGCCCGCAGGCCTGTGTGCACGCTGCGGTGGATCTGCAGCAGCGAGGAGCGCTTGAAGGCCTTGGGGCAGTCGGGGCACTGGTAGGGCCGCTCGCCAGTGTGGCCCCGCTGGTGGTAAAGCAGGGCTGAGGAGCCCTTGAAGGCCTTGGGGCAATCCGGGCACTTGTAGGGCCGCTCGCCTGTGTGCGTGCGCTGATGGTGCAGGAGCCGAGACGACCACCGGAATGACTTGCCACACTCCCCGCACTCATACTGGGCCGCAGGGGCGGGGGCCGCCGGGCCGGGCTTCTCCCCAGTCCCGTCCGCGGTAGAGGCAGGCGCCATGTCCGCGTGGGAGCCAACCATCACACCTGGCGGAGGGATTCCGGATCAGAGTGGGTAGGCACTGAACTTTTAAGGGACAGGGGTGGCAGAGGGCCCTTATCAGGATTAGGGTTTACAGTGGCCCACGTTTTACCTGAGACTGAGAGAGGAGTAAGGGGGTCCCTGGGATGTGAGACTTCCGGTGCTAAAACTTCCCAGCAAACAAATCAGCCACCTCCCAGCATGCTGGCCATCTCCTCCAGGAGGCCCACTCTGGTACCCTCTAAAGTTGGAAGCCTGGCTTCCCGTGTCCACTCCACTTCAACACTGGCTCTTCCTGGCACACCCTGAACCATTCACTCTCCAGGCCCTCAGAGAGCCGAGCCGAACATCCCACTCTACCACCCCGCCTTCTAGTCCCTTCCCTCGCCAGCCAGATCTAGTTCTCTGGATCCTGCAGGCTCTGCGAGCTCCGGTGCTCCATCCATCCACTCCTGCAGTTCTGCCCTCGCCCAAGGGAAGTGCTGCTGAGGACCCTGCAGTCCCTTGCAGAGCGAAAGCGCAGGGCTGCCTCACTGTGCACTCCTGCCCGCCTCCCTCTCCACCTCACACATATTACTCGGCTTCACGCACTACCCTGGGTGACTGCCTGGCATGCTTCTTTTCTCCTGAAGCCTCCAGCACCTCCTTTTCCCTCCTTTCCCTTGCCATCAACCATACTGGCCACCAAGAGACTGTCTCCACGCTCCAATCACCACACCAGAGGCTCCCAACTGGGCAAATGTCCTCCCACCACCAGACATCTAATGATGCCTGGAGACACTGCTGCCTGTCAGTCAACTGGAGGGGCCAGTGCTACTAGCATTTAGTGGGTGGAGAGATCTGGATGCTTCTCAACACCCTATAATGCACAGGACAACCCTCCCAACAAAGGTGGACCTAGTCCAAAATACGAATCCAGTCCAAAATGTCAGGCTGAGAAACTGCACTATGGGTCCCATCAGCCCCTTCCTGTGCCAAGACTTGGAGCTCCCACTGCGTTCTGGAGCTTTCCTCTCTCCAAGACCGTGCCTGTCAGCATGTCTCCCATTTTTTTAAAAAGAAACAAAAAATTCTTCGCCCCATTTCCCCCTCCAACCACAGCCTCTCTTCTCTCCAGCCCTTTACAGCAGAGCAGAGCCTGCACTTCCCACCTCAGGCCACTTCAGTCACACACTTGCCCTGTCCCCTGCTGCTAAATCCTACTGCTCAGCCCTCAGCTCCTTCTTCCAACCACCTCCCCTGGCTTCCAAGAGCCAGGTCTCCTCCTCCCTCACCTGTGGCTGTCTCAGTCCCTAGTTGGGTCCTGCTTGTCCCGGTGACTTCTGTGTGTAGGAGACTGGGGCTCAGTCTAGCCTTGCTGCGCCCCGATCTGCCCTCTCCCTAGGAACTCTCAGCCCCTAGTGGCTTCACACCCTAGGAACATGTGACTTCAAACATGTACCTCTGCCTGAGACTCCACTGCTCCACATCCCCTGCTAGACTGTGCCAGTTGAGGTGCTGGGGATGGAACCCACAGCATCACACAGGGTAGGCAGTGCTCTACCACTGACCTACATTCCCCAGGCCCTCCCCTCTTTTAAATTTTATTGAGACAGTCTCACTGAGTTCCCCAGGCTAGTCTCAAACTTGTGATCCTCCTGCGTCAGCCTCCCAAATAGCTGGGATTATAGGCGCACACTACAATACCGGCTCAACTTTAAAACTTGGACATCTAATAGCAAAATCTAATCCAGCTTTTTGCTCCTGTGCCCCCCCTCAAATTAGGAATTAAATGTCCTACTCAACCATAGTCTTCTCTGAAAACAGGGGTGCTATTCTTCAGGCCTTGGTCCTCCTCACCTCTCTCTCTCTCCCACTCCAGCTCTCTCATTCTGTATAATCAACCCGTCAGCAGATTCCTCTGTTCCAGCGAGAACCGAGTCAGAATGTGACCACTTCTCATAAGCCTCACTTTTGTCCAAGCACTGCCATCTCTCTCCTGGGCAGATGTGACCTCCTAACAGACTGCCATTTTCCTTGCCATCCTGCCCCAGTCCATTCCCAACACTGCAGCTAAAGGAACCTTCATTAGAGAAAACTGGGCATTTCATCCCTCTGTTCAAAGACTTCTGCAGATTCCCACATAAGAGCAGAAAACAAATCCCTTACAAGACCCTGCTGACTTCCCAAACCCTGGGGCCTCAGCCCCTTGCTGGCTTGTTCTGCTACACACCTCCATTCTCATCACTCCAGCCTACCAACCAGGAGAGGCAGGCTGCTCCCATCTCCTACCCCTCACCTCCAAATCCTCACTGAAATCCCCTCTATGAGGCCTTCTCCCATTGCCCTATTAAATCTGCAGTCCCTTTCAACTCTCCTCATTTTCTCCCCCTACCCCATTTTCCCTCTAGAGCATTTATCACCTTCTCAGTACTATACAGCCAATGTTTCTCAACCTCAGCAGTAAAAACTAGGATTGCACCATTTGCCAGAGAGCACATCCTGTGCATACTGTGCTGAGCATGGACCTGGTTCCACCCCACTAGATGCTAGTGGCAACCACATCCCTGCAGCTGTGACAATTAAAATGTTGCCTGACTGACCATTATCTATTAAACACTCCTCCTCTACATTGTTTACAAAGTTCACTACTGCACTTCAGGTCTTTATGCACTGTCACCCAGGGAAGTACCATCACCCCCTCCCACTGACAACCATTGCTACAGAATGCCTGGGGCTTCCTGTTTTATTCTGCCTCCCCATGCCAGAATGCCATGAAAACAGGCACCTTTGTCTTGTTCACTGCTGTATTCCAGTTTCTGTATTAACATCTGTCTGGCAGTGTGTGCTCAGTAAGCATATGTTACATGAATGAAGGCTGAGTATAAAGACAAGTATAAAGATCTTTAGACAAGTATAAAGATCTCCTTTTAAAAAGATGAATATCGGCTGGGGCTGTAGCTTAGTGGCAGAGTGCTTGCCTAGCATGTGTGAGGCATTGGGTTTGATCCTAAGCACCACATGAAAATAAATAAATAAATAAATAAATATTTTTTTAAAAAAGATGAATGTCAACTGGGCGTGGTGGCAATGGCTTGTTATCCCAGCGACTCAGGAGGCTGATCCCAAGTTTGAGGCTAGCCTGGGCAACTTACAAAACCCTGTCTCAAAAAATAAAGAGCAAAAAATGGTCTGGAGATGGAGCTCAGTGATAGAGCGCCCCTAGATTCAATTAAAAAAATTAAAAAAGACGGAGGTCCAGTTTAAACTGTAAGCAGGTCCTCTAAAGGGACTAAGGATCCCAAGAAGCTGCACACATTTTTGAGAAGCCAGACATTGCCTCTTAAACGCGAAATGCCCACGCTCTGGAGGTAACAGGGATCCACCTTATCAATCAGAGAGCGTGCCCTTTAAAAGGCCAGATCACCCCCTCCAACAGGCTAGAATTTCCCTTTAAGGGGATGCGCTTGCTGCATGCTCATCTCTACCTTTGTTCAGCAAAACTACGGATCGTTTTGAAGGCACCAGGACTATGGAGTTTTACCTTGAATGTCTGAGAAACTGTCATTGGACTTTAATTTGACAATCTCCTTTTCACAGGAGGAAAAATCAGCGGGAAAGTTTAGAAAATGTAAACCCTGCCCCGCCCTCTAAACGCATCTCCGAAGCCTTTAAGAGGGCGGAGCCGGCCCAACGGACAAAAGTCGGAGGCGAAATAGAGAACTTCCCTTTAAGGCGCCCCTTCCGGTTTCACGCTCGCGGTTTTCCAAACGACTCCGCCCTCCAGCCCCTCCCCCACCCCGCCCTCCGGTCTCTCACCTGCGGCCCCGGTCCGGAGGACGAGGCGGGAGGCCCAGGAGCTCCCCGCGGGGGCCGACGGGAAGGGGGGCCCGGCACGGCGCCGCAGTAGCGGGGGCCGGGGAGGGGCGGGGGCGCGCTCCCTCCCGACGGCCCCCGGCGCGAGGCACCCAACCTTTATCGGCGGCCTCTTGCGCACACAAACCCCGACTCGCGTCGCGCGTCATGACGCACGCGCCGCGCCCGGCCCCGCCCCCGGCCACGGCCTCGGCGCTGCGGAGCGGGGTTGACGGGGAGGCGGTGCCAGAGCGGCGCGGCGCGTCCTGCGGTGCTCCGAGACTGTCTGGTAGCGCGCTTCGGGAGCCCGCCCACCCGCTGCTGGCGTGGACGCTCCGGCGGGGAGACGGAGGCCGAGTCCCCGGCACCGACCCGAGCTCCCTCCCGCCTGACCTGCCCCAGCGGCAGGGCAGGTGTCTCAACCTGGACACCCGTGACAGTGGCTTGGGTCGTTCTTCTGTGCTTTGTAGGGTGGTCAGCAGCAGCCCGGGCCTCCGCCTGCTAGATCCAGTAGCACCAACTACACTCACATGCCTCAGTTTGCCTGGAACTCTGAGCCTATTTAGACCCACTTTGGCCCCGCAGGGCTTGGGCCCTGTCTGCAGGGCATTCCTGCGGGTAAAACCCATGACATCCCGCTTAGCTCAGACATTCCTCTCACTTTGGCTTTTAAAACACCCATCGAAACATAATGGATGCTGCAGGGCTGGGTTGGGTTAGTGGATGTGGAGGGTAGGCCCAGGGATGTGGGTTCCACTGTCTTCCGCCTTGCCTCAGTCCACCGGGGATTCCTGCAGTGATGAAGAGATCTCAACTCAACCCCTTTTACCAGAGGTGTTAACAAGGGAGGTGGGAGAGGCTCTGCCCTCCTTAGCATTCTCTGCTTTGCAGTGGAAGGTGATCAGAGGTCTAGAAGTGGCCTTGAGCAACAGGCTTTCACTAAAAAGGTAATGCACATTCAACAAGTTGGTCTTAAAAAACACAGAACAGTGTCTTGGAACCAAGGAGGGAGGAATATTCAGCATTTGCCAAGCCAAAGAGTAGTCTTGGGACATCATCACCCCATCCCACATCAGTTATGTGCTTGACCTGTCTTTGAACCCTTGTATGTAGAAACCTCCGTTAACCCTGCATCTCGTACTTATAAGAAAACGGAGAATCCAGGAGCTGAAGTCACAAATAAGATAACAAAATCACCATTGCCCATTCCAGTCTTGAGGTTCATGAGGTGAAACCTCTGAAAGAGAAGGAGGATGACTCTATTGGATATTGGTCTAGAAGCCATTTGTGTTACATTCTGGCAAAGAAGTTGTCTACATTTTGTCCTTGTCCTCAGACTTTTTGTGAGGCTGAATTCAAAGGTGATGAACTAAGTAATCGATTGGAGGAAATTTCAAGGCAGCACAGCATTCAGGTAGTGATCTGGATATTGCTGGCAGCTTTTAGCTACTTTACCATGATAATTGGAAGCAGAAAGCAGAGCAGAAAAACTTGAAAATTTTGCAGTATGATTAGAAAACTGTGGGGCTGGGGTGGTGGCTCAGTGGTAGAGCACCAGCCTAGCATGTGTGAGGCACTGGGTTTGATTCTCAGCACCACATAAAAATAAATAAAATAAAGGTCCACTGACAACTAAAAAATATTTAAAAAGAAAGAAAGACAACTGACTAACTAGGTCTAAGGAAAGTGTGTTTATTAAAAGAGATTACAGCCACTAAAGAGGTGCTAACTGTTTTACCTAGAAAGGTAGGAAAGATGGCTCCAGGGCATTTCAAAACTTAGCAAGACCACACCCATTTTAGGCTTAAGGGTATAAAAGTAAACATTCCTTTGAGAAGAGACCATTGAGGTGCCCTGCTTGCTCAGGGAGGCCTAGGAAGTTATTTCACTCTGCTCAGCTGCCCAGGCACTGAAGGCAGCAGCTGTGGTCCAATGAGGTTTGGCCATGGCTCAAGATGGTGACAAACCTTGGCATCAACCATGTGGTTGCAGAATACTGTACTTCGGGTATCATGGAAGTTTCCATTAAGATTTTAAAGAACAACCTAGGAGGTAAGGCAAAGTGTAGCAGGGTTGGAATTCCTGCAGCAGCCTCTGAGAGGTCAATGTGCAGATGTGAACAGGAAGCCAAAGCTGCAGTGGAGACCCCTGAGATGCCAGTAATGTGGAAAGTCTGCCGAGGCAAGCTGCAGGGATCCAGCAGAGAGGAGCCAAGAGAGAAACCAGGTGGACTGCACAAGCCCGCTAGGGAGAACACCACAGTGTCATGTGCCCCACAAGCTGGACATGGAGCTACAGGGCTGGTTTGTCCAGCTGAACTTCAGTCTTGTTCTGGTCCCATCCGTTCTTTCTGTGTCCCTGGTATTCCCTTGTGGAATGGAAAAGTCTACTCTGTGTCATATATTGGATGCATATGAATTCCTTTTGATCTTTTAGTCTAACTTGCCTCGAGTCTCATATGAGATTTTGGACTTGTACTTTTGGGCACTGCTAAACTGTTAAGACTATGGGGACTCTTGGAAATGGACTAAGTGCATTTCACACTGTGAGATGGGCATAAGCTTTTGGGGGCCAGAGGCAGAATGTTATGGTTTAGATATGAGGTATCTCCCAAAACCCCATGTGAGAGAAAATTTAAGAATTTTCAGAGGTGAAATGATTATTTTATGAGGTATAACATAATCAGAGAATTAATCCACTGATATGGACTAATTGGGTGGCAACTGTAGTCCAGGTTGGGTGTAGCTAGAGGAAGAAGGTCACCGAGAAGTGTGCTTTGGAGCTTATGTTTTGTCCCTGGTGAATGGAACGGCTTGCTCTCTCTGCTTCCTGGTGTCATGTCCCGAGATGCTTTCATGCACTATGCTCTTCTGCCATGATGATCTGCCTCACCTTGGGTCCAGAGCTATGGGATCAGCCAGCTATGAACTGAGACCTCTGAAACCGTCAGCCAGAATAAACTTTTCCTTCTCTAATTGTTCTTGTCAGATCTTTTGGTCACAGGGACACAAAAGATGACTAAAAACAACCTAAACAATATTTTTTTCCTTTATTAAAGTGAGAACTTTCACTTTTCACTTTAAAGAGGTACTTTACAGCTTCTCTTTAGCATATTTGAATTACCAGCATCACTGCTCCTGCGCTTTGGGTCCATCATTGTTTAAAACAAGGGCTACTGAAATACAAGCACTTTGATGATACTATAATAGTTTGTCTGAGAATAGAGATGGCTACTAAGCAGGCAACCAATGGGTAGCATATACAGTGGATTAATACGGAGGGAGAAGGCATGAGATTTCATCACACTACTCAGAATGACTCCCACCAAGGTTTGCATGTAACTGAGATTGTGGAAAGTGAAACCCACTGAATACCACCAACTCTCCTGGGTCTCCAGCTTGCAGAAGGCAGACCAGGAGTGCTTCCTCTCACCCTCCTCCTGGCTATTCTTGTCCTTCCACCATGATGTCCTGCTCTGTCTTGGGCCCAATTATGGAGTTGGCCAGTCATGGACTAAACCTCTGAAACTGTGAGTCCAAAATAAATCTTTCCTACTCTTAATGAAAAGGAAAGAAAGAGAGACTGGGGTTGTAGCTCAGTAGTAGACCACTAGCCTAGCACATAAAAATAAATAAAATATCCATTGACAACTAAAAGAAAAGAGGTATCATGTTCATCTACAGCTAAAATTTTTAAAAAAGAAAAAAAGTAAGCAGATCAGGAGACTTTCAGCCTCCGCAACCACATGAACAAATGTCTTACAATAAGTCTGTTTCTGGAGAGATCTCTATACTGGCTTGTCCACCTATCCATATCTATCTAGATGGACTGATTGATAGGTTAATAAATAGTAGATCCTACTTCTCTGAGAACTCCAATTGATCCTAACTCTAACTGCCCTGGGTGGACCTGATAGACTCAGTCAGGCCCTGGAAGACTGTGTCCACAAGTCAGAGACTGTACTGCTGGCCCCAAGGATGTGAGCCTCCATGGAATCCACCGATGTAAGGAAACAAACTCTGCCACATGAGCTTGGAAGAGGACCCTGACCTCAGGTGAGACAGAGAGCCTCGGTGACAGGAGCAGAGGACATGTATGTGAGGCCAGAGAGGAGAGAAAGGGAGACTGCAGGGGGGACCTAGGAGGAAAGCAAGGTCCATCCAACACATTCAACATTCAGGCTACAGGACAAGAGTTACCTCCTCAGAAAGGGGTTCCCCAGGGCTGGGGTTGTAGCTCAGTGGTAGAGCATGAGGCCCTGGGTTTGATCCTCAGCACCACATTTAAAAAGTAAATAAATAAAAATAAAGATATTGTGTCTATCTACAACTAAAAAAATTTTTTAAAAGGGCTTCCCCATCTGAAGGAGCCCCACCTGCACCCCCACGTCCATCTCATGGGCCAGTCTTGGCCCCACCACAGCGCACACCACCTGATGTTTTCTCATTGCTTGTTTGTGGGCACTTCCCCGCTAAGTTCTGCAGGGACAGCGGGTTGCATCCTCAGTCTCTGCACACAGTAGATGTTGAATGATTAAATCCGCCACCACAGACAGTGTTATGAGGGCTGGCATAGGGAAAAGAAACCTGGCCAGCACGTGGAAGTGCAGGTCCTGGATGAAGTCAGCCCTCGGCTGTGGGAGAGTCTCACCAGCTCAGGGCACAGGAGAAGTAACCATAAGTCTGGGCCTAGAACCTTGAGCCTGGTCTCCCAGCACCAGCCAAGTCATTGGCGCCCCTGGTGGCGCATTCCCAGGCCAGCGCCTGGAGTAGCAGCCCTGTGTGTTCCTGCTGGCTGTGGGGACAGGGTTGTCATAGATGTTGCTCTTGGCTCCTGGGGCTGGGGAATGCAAGTCAACTCTGGAGCTGGACTAGCAAAGGCCATGCCTCAGCCACGGTAGCAGCAGCCCCTTCCTGCCCTCCAATCCTCCAGAGACATGGGGGTCCACTTCTCTCAGCCCCTGGCCAAGGGGCCCTGGGTCCTCACCTCTGGGCCTGAGGGGGACAGAGACCATGAGGAACGTTCAGAGTCTAAGAAACAGACACTGAGAGAGAGAGACTGAAACTCAGAGAGCCTCGGTGACAGGAGCAGAGGACTGTATATGAGGCCAGAGAGGGGAGAAAGGGAGACGGCAGGGGCCCTAGGAGGAAAGCAAGGCCAGGGAGACAGAGGGCAGCGCCTGAGAGGGCACCCCGAGGACTTGAGCTCTGAGAACCTGCGAGACAGGGAGGTCCTGGAGGCCCCCGACCAGAGGACATCCTCTCTCCCACCAGCACCAGGAATGCTACTGGTCCTCAATAAAGTGCCCTTTGGGGGAACCTGGCCAGTGTTTTCCCCTCGACCCCCCAGCTCAGTGCCCTGCCACCGCCCCTTCCCCATTCCCTCCTCTGTGCGAGTGCTCAGCACCCAGAAGCCAGCCTTCTTGCGAGCTGGAGACCGTGGGGCTCAGTTTCCCCTAAAGACTTGGGCCAGGGGCTGGGGGACATGTGGGGGTGGGTGGCTGATGAGAAGTCTGCGCACACTCAACCTTGGAGTCCCAGCTCCTTTCAGGGGCTGGTCCCCTTCTCTCCACCCCCCACCTGTCCCCTCCCCTGACTCCAATTAAGGGTCCTCAACACTAATCGCTGAGGTTGACTTGCTCCTGGCCTGGCCTCCTTAACAAGGCCTTTGTCCCCTTAATTGGCTATCTCCGGGCTCTTTTCTCCGTCCCCCCCTACCAGCCCTGTCCTATATCCCAGGTCCAACTATGTGCTAATTGGGCACCTGGGGGGCACACAGGAAGCTCCTTGGCTCCCAGCCATTTGCCTTCCTACAGCCGCCCTTCACCCATGCGTCCCTCAAGCCTCAGGTCCAGCTCCGGGAAGTAGGGACCATGTTAGGGATCAGAGGGGGCCCTTACCCTAGCTCCCAGGGCTGACCCCAACCTCAGGGCTGCCCTGCCCTGGAGTCCACTGGCCCCTCGAGATTTGGGGAGGGCTTTCCAATCAGCACTACCTGGGGAGTGACTTCAGAGTGCCCTGGCCATGCACCCTGGGGTCCCTGCGGCACTGGGGCTCTCTGAGCCTGGTCCCCGAGAGCTGTGTGCTTTTGTGAGTGGGGCATCGGCCCACATGCTGCGGGCCCTGCAGCCCAGACGCACCCGGCCACCCAAGAGGAGGCCCAACCACAGGAGGTTCCTGCACAACCAGATCTGCAGGTAGGAGGACAGTGGGAGGAGGGGACAGGTGGGGGGCAGTGGGAGGAGGGGACAGGTGGAGGGCACTGGGAGGAGGGGACAGGTGGAGGGACAGTGGGAGGAGGCGACAGGTGGGGTGGACAGTGGGAGGAGAGGACAGGTGGTGGGCAGTGGGAGGAGGGGACAGGTGGTGGGCAGTGGGAGGAGGGGCCAGGTGGGGGCAGTGGGAGGAAGGGCCAGGTGGGGGGCAGTGGGAGGAGGGGACAGGTGAGAGACAGTGGGAGGAGGGGACAGGTGAGACACAGTGGGAGGAGGGGACAGGTGGGGGGCAGTGGGAGGAGGGGACAGGTGGGGTGGACAGTGGGAGGAGGGGCCAGGTGGGGACAATGGGAGGAGGGGCCAGGTGGGGGACAGTGGGAGGAAAGGCCAGGTGGTGGACAGTGGGAGGAGGGGACAGGTGGGGGACAGTGGGAGGAGGGGACAGGTGGGGGGGGACAGTGGGAGGAGAGGTCATGTCCTGGGGGCAGAGTTTGGAGAGGATCAAAGGCCCCACAGGACAGGAGTGGACGGAGAGCTGGATCAAGGGTCATTCAGTATGCATTTATTGAGTGCCCCTGTGTGCTTGGCCTGTGCCATGGCCTGGAGACCCCTACCTTCCTAAAGTAAGGGTCCTCATGGGGGTGGCAGATAGGAAGGAAGGACCCAAGTAAATATCACTGCGTGCATGGACGACCTTGAAACGTGGTGCTAAGGGAAGGTGGTGAGCCACCAAGGCAGCGTTGTGCGGGACTCCACGTTCCATAGCAGGCAGATCCATAGACAGAGCCTAAGGCAGCCCCAGGGCCACTGGGGGGCTCGCAGGTTAGGGCTTGCCTTGAGGGTGATGAAAGCCTGGGCGCTGGGGAGCGGTGGTGGCTGTACACGTCGTGCGCGTATTCACCGCCCCCGCCCCCCCCCCAGTCTCCTGCACTCTCTGAAATGGTGGCTTTGGGTACATTTTGCCTCCATTTAAAAATCTATGGATCTGTTAGAAGGGGACGCAGGCTTGGAGAGAGGGAGGATGGGGAGTGCGGGGGCGGCGCGGTGTGTTGAGGGAGGCGTCCCAGAGAAGGTGGTGTTCCGGAAAGACCAGCAGGGGCTGCGGGGAGGCCCTGGACGGCTGAGGGAGGAGGCCAGGCAGAGCCTGGGTAAAGGCCCGAGGCTGGGATAAGCGGCAGCTTCAGGCCAGCGTGGAGCCTGGGGGCCTGGCTGTGAGCACAGGCGCTGGGCGGGGGTCTCTGGCTGCTCTCTGAACAGAGCCTAGGAGTGAGGTTGCACTGAGAGCCGGCCCTGGTCCTGGGGAGGGACAATGAAGACGCCACCAGGGCCGGGGGTGGGGTGGGGAGTGGGATCCCACGGGGTGTTTTAGTGAGTTTTTATTTTACTTTTATTTTTTATTATTTGTTGTCCGAGGGACAGAACCCAGGGGTGCTTCACCACTGAGCCCCATCTCCAGCCTTTTTCATTTTTTATTTTGAGACAGGACCTCACTAAATTTTGAGACTGCCCTTGAACCTGTGACCCTCCTGTCCTCAGCCCTGGCCAGCACACCCAGCCCCTGCCGCACTTTAGAGTCAGGCTGCCACTCCTGCTCCCAGGCAGGACCCACTCATCCCCTCTGCTCAGGTATTTCCCTAGACTCTCCATGGCCCCTGCCAGGTTCCTGGGCTCTCCCCCTCCCCACCAGCCCCACCCTTGGGCTGCTGGTCTGTGGCCTGCTCCCTTTGCCCAGCACCGCCCTCCCCGTCTCTGCGGGGGCCTGGGGGCCTCTGTCCTTCAGCTTCAGTCTCAGTCCACCTCCCTCCCAGACCCTCCCCCCTGTGTTCCCCTCTAAACAGGACAGTAACAAGTACCTTGCTGTGGGCCAGGACATTTGCTGGGGCCTTGGCATACTGCATGTCACTGAATGCTCCCTAGAATCTCCCTGGAAGGTTCTGTCTTTGTCCCTGTGTCACAGAGGAGGAGGCTGAGAGAGGTGAACAAACGCGCCCAGGCAGCCTGCGGTCGGGGCCCACCCTCTGTGCCGGTGGTCAGTCCTGCCTGGACCCAGCTTCCCTGCCCACCTGATGGTGATGGCACTGAGGATGGGGGTGATGGTGGTGACAGTGCTCTACTCAGCTTTTCATTGCTGTGACCAAAAGACCTCACAGGAACAATATAGACACCTGGCGAGGTGGCACACACCTGTGGCCCCAACAACTCGGACTCCAGAGGCTGAGGCAGGAAAATCGAGAGTTCAAAGCCAGCCTCAGCAACTTATGAGGCCCTAAGCAACTTAGCAAGACCCTGTCTCAAACTTAAAAATATAAAGGGCCGGGGATGTGGCTCAGTGGTGAACTGTCCCTGGGTTCAATCCCTGCTACAGACGAAAAGAAAGAAAACCCAGAGAGAAGGGGAAGTTCCTGGGGGCTCATGGTTCAGAGGTTCAGCCCGTGGTTGGCTGACTCCACAGCTCTGGGCCCAAGGTGAGGCAGAGCGCCTGTGGTGGAGGGGCGCGGCACGGGAAAGCAGCTCAGGACAGGTCAGCCAGGAGGCAGAGAGCCCCACTCACCAGGGTCGAAAAGGCACAGCCCAGTGACATCCTCCAGCCATTCCCGAGGTGCCTACAGTCACCACCCAGTTAATTCCTACCAGGGGTCAGAGTGCTGCTAGGTAAGGCTCTCGTCACCTAGTGGCCTCCCCTCTGAGCTTTCCTGCAGGTCCCACAGCTGAGCTCTTGGGGACACCTCACAGTTGAGCCGTCACGTGATGACCGTGATGATGGTATGAGAGGGGAGATGATGGAGACGAGAACGGTGACGACGGGTGACGGTGGTGATGAGGTGGAGAGGATGACAGAGAGGTGGTGGTGACAGTCAAGGTGACAGTTGGTCTGAGGGTTATGTGGCTGGTGTGAAGAAGAGGATTATAATGTGCTGACCTTGACGTTGACCTTGGTGGCGATGGTGGTAGCTGACCGGGTGCCGGGCACAGAGAAGCACTTCCACGTTAGCACTAACGAGTGAGCCCTTGTGCGCGATGATGGTTAACTGATTAACCTACACCCCAGTCCTGGAAGGTTCTCAGATGAGGACTCTGAGACCCAGGGTGGTAGTGGACTTGGCCACAGACCCAGCTTCCTGTGAGTAGGGTGCCTCTCCCGGCCACCCAGAACCTTGCCCAGCAGGTCCTGGAACCAACCTTGAGTAAACGGGAGTCTATCCTACCTCAGCCCCAACGCCCAAGGCTCCGTCGCCAAATGCCTCCCACCACCACCACCACCACCAAAGAGGAAAGCTCATCTCCCCAACAAACCCAGCCCTGTGTTCTCGAACTGCCTTCGAACGCCTCAGAGCCCCCTGTCAACTGCTCCAGGCCCTTCTCATCTTGAGCCCCCAGCCCAGGGTTCCCGCGGCTCCCCCGTCTGGCCACACTTCCCCTGGGCAGGTAGATCCCAGGCAAGACCCCACCCTGTGCCAGGCTCTGCCCCACACTCCCCAGAGACCCAGGCTGCCCACCATGGTCTTGAGGGCTGGGCAGCCTGGAGCACATTCCCCTGGGACCTGGGCTCACCCTGAGAAAACCCGGGGGCGGAGGGCCGTCCTCAGCATCCCCGACCCTCAGGCCCTGCTCCCCCAGCAAGCCTCCCACCTTCTCCCTCGGCTCTCACCCTTTCTTGTGAACATTTCCAAACCTACAGAAAAGTCCAAGCAGTTGTCTGGTGCAGTGGCTCTCGACAGCCACCCCCAGGCCCCTAGAAGCACAGGCCAGCATCACCTGGGGAATGCAGACCCCACCCCCAAATAACAGAATCCGAAAGCAGCTCCAGCCAGGGCCCTTCGTTCCCAAGTCACCTGTAGGTGACTCTGAATTGTGCTCAAATCTGAGAACCTCTGGTCTGATCACTCAGACTTAGGTTCTACTCTTTTTTTCTTTAAATGTTTACTTATATATTTATAATGTAGATGGACACAATACCGTTATTTTATTTTTAAGTTGTGCTGAGGATTGAACCCAGTGCCTCACATGTGAGAGGCAAGTGCTGTGCCCCTGAGCCCCAGCCCCAGCCTTAGGTTTTAACTCTTGACAGCATTTAGCATATTTCCTTCATATATATTTCTTCTTCCTTCTCCTCTTCCTCCTCTCTTTTTTATCTCCCTTCTTCTCCTCCTCCTTTTTTTCTTTTTTTCTTTTTCTCCAGTATGCAGACTGAACCCAGGGCCTCACACAAGCTAGCCACACTTCTCCAAGCCCTTTTCATTTTTATTTTGAGACAAGGTTTCACCAAGTTGCTGAGGGTCTCATTAAGTTGCTGAGACTAGCCTCTAAGTTGTGAACCTCCAGCCCCAGCCTCCTGAGTAGCCAGCATTACAAGCATGTGCCACCATACCTGGATGGTGAGATATATATTGCAGAGCTGGGGATGGAACCCAGGGCCTCACACATGCCAGGCAAGTGCTCTACCACTGAGCCACATCCCCGGGCCCAGATATATGTTTAATTAATAATGTGGCAAAATACACATGACTTGTAACCCACCATTTTAGCCATTTTAAAGTGTACAGTTCAGTGGCATTTGATAGAGTCACCATGTTTTAGCCATCACCTCTGTCTAGTCCCAGTACATTCTGTCACTCCTATGAAGAAGCCACCCCCAGACCCCCTCCCCCAGCCCTGGAAAATCACTAATCTCTTTTTTCTCTCTTGGGATTTGCCTATTCTGGATATTTCATTCACATGGAATTATAGATATCAGATATATTTTTAAATAAGCCTTTTTATGGAAATTTAATATACACACCCACACCATTAGCAAAGAGCTCCATGAATCTCCCCACTAGTGTAATAAAGAGAACCCGCTTGTGTAATCCACACTCAGATCCAGAAGCCCAAGGCTTTCTCGCCCCAGGGGCCTGGTGGGTCTCTTCCCCTAGGCCGCGGTCCTGCCTTCTGTCCCCACTATCAGTTCATTCCCACTGGGGCTGTGTAGGGAAGGGTCACACAGCACAGCTGATGGGGCTCACTGCCTTCACCAGTGTGTGCACCCGTGTGTGTGTGTGTGTGTGTGTGTGTGTACATGTGCCTGTGGGAGCTCTGCCGTAACAAAGCACTGCAGACCCAGCAGCTTACACGACACTCATTCTCTTCTGGCTCCGGAGACTGGAAGTCCCAATCAGGGGGTGGGCTAGGTGGCTCCCTCTGACCTCTCTCCCTGGCTTGCACACACCTGCCTCCTTCTGACCTGATAGGCTCTTGCCTCTGTGCTTTAAACCTGACTCCTAGTCTCTTCTTCTTCTTCTTCTTCTTCTTTTTAAAAAAAAAAGACAGAGAATTTTTAATGTTTAGTTTTCGGCGGACATAACATCTTTGTATGTGGTGCTGAGGATCGAACCCGGGCCGCACGCATGCCAGGCGAGCGCGCTACCGCTTGAGCCACATCCCCAACCCCTCCTAGTCTCTTCTTCTTGGACTGGGACCCAGCCTAATGATTTCGTTTCACCTTAATCACCTCTCTGCAGGCCTCATCTGAAAATGCAGTCTCATCTGAGGTACTCAGACCTAGGAACTCAGTGTAAGAATTTTGGAGACACAGTGTAGTCTACAACAGTTCATGAAAGCCATCCAGATTGCCGAGAGTGTAGGAATGCTAGGGGAGAGATCCACAGGGTGGCTACTGCAGTTGGGAGATGCTGGAGACTCCAACCTGCGGTTGCTGGAGAAGCCAAGAAGAAGGCTGATCCAAAAGAATCCACAGGGCATCAATTTGACCATATCGTCATATTGATTGTCACATCAATATGATTGTGCCACCAGTCCATAGCACACCTTTTTGTGATGGGTGATGGGTAATGTGTGCACGCTGGGGTTTGAACCCAGGGCTTGGTGCATGCTAGGTAAGCACTCTATCAATGAGCTACAACCCCAGCTTTTTTATTTTTTGAGACAGGGACTCACTAAGTTACCCAGACTGGCCTTGATCTCATAATCCCCCTGCCTCAGTCTCCTGAGTACCTGACTAGAGGCATGAAACACCTTGCCCTGCACCTTTCTTTGAAAGCACTCCCATAAGACATTTTACAATTTTTTTTTTAGAAGAGAGAGGGAGAGAGAGAGAGAATTTTTAAATATTTATTTTTCAGTTTTCGGTGGACACAACATCTTTATTTTATTTTTATGTGGTGCTGAGGATCGAACCCAGCGCCCCGCGCATGCCAGGCGAGCGCGTTACCACTTGAGCCACATCCCCAGCCCTACACTTTTATATGTTGGAATAAAGTCATAATAAATCTTTAATGTCAAAAATGTGCCTACAGCTGGGCTGGAAGGGCTGCCTCTTCCACCCTCACAGCTATTCAGTTTCCCTTACCATACTGAAAAAAAAAAACAAAAACAAAAACAAAAAAAACAGAGCCAGGGCACAGAGATGAGCAGGAAGAAGAAAAATGGGATGGAAAGAGGGGACAAGTTGCTCCAGGGGTGCAGAAAGGAGAGGGGTCCTTTGTAGTCACACAGCTAACACCCGTCTCTCTTGCAGGCAATTCGCCAAGATTGAGGCTGCCACCCAGAGCCTGGCCCTATCCATCCTGTCCCAGGAGGCAACCCCCCAGAGAAAGCCAGCCAGAAGGCCACCCTTGCCGCCTCCATCTCCCTTCCTGGGGGTGGCTTGTGCTATGGCCCCCATGGAGGCACCCCATACCAGCGCCACCCTGAGCCTTGCTGCCCTAGAGGCCTCCACCCTTGACCTCTTCGATGACATTGCACTCACCCCAGACTGTCCTTCAGTGCCATGTGATCTGTCCTCACAGCCTCCGACTGCTGATACTCCCCAGCTGGCGTGGGATCTGTCCTGTCATGCTCTGGGCCAGGGAGACCTGAGGCAGCAGGACATAATGCTGGCACCACATTGCTCAGATCCTCTGCCTCTTACACAGCATGCCCAATGGGGAGAGTCTGAGACTGGGCATCTGGACTGGAGCTGGGTGGACAGGTGGGAAGTGCCTAGTACCTGGCATTCTCAGGGGATCCGCCAAGACTGGGGGACCCCATGATTATCAACTGCAATGCAGCCCAGGGCCCAGGACAAAGCAGAGGCCTCACCCAGAAGTCCCCTGACCTGTCCTCCACTCCTTTCCTGACAGACCCTGAGAAAACAAGCCAAGCCCAGACTCCTGCCTCGGGCCAGGCCCAGGGCCCCACCTCTGTCCCTTGGGGACTCACTGTGGGTTGCCTTCTCCCTTCTTTCTTCCCAGCCCCATCTTGGCATCTGTGGCTCCCTCTCACCGGGCTCATCTCTGCCTAGTGGTCTAGGCTCGTCGCAATTATTCCCAAGATCTACTGAGCGCCTACCGTGGGCCAGGCCAGGTGGAGGTGTGGAGGTACAGCAGAGGATACCCTGCCCTCCTGGCGCTCTCATTTGTGTGTTTGTGTGTGGAGGAGCCAACAATAAACGAGTACCCAGATAGGTCTTCAAAAACCAAGGTAAACCTCCAATTCCGGAGGGGAATTTCGAGCAGTGCATTCTTGCAAGGAGCCGGTCAGGGCAGCTCTGGGGCCTGGGGACAGGAAGGGCACACGCAAAGGCCCCGAGCCCTGAGGCGGACACCTGGCGGCGCGGTGCGGCGCGGCGCGGCGGGAAGGTGGGACCTGAGAGGCACCGAGGTCGGCCAAGGCCCACCATTAACAGGGAGGAACGCAGACTTAGTTCCAGGATACCTGGGAGCTCTGCCCTCTCACCACCCTGCTTGCCAAGTGCAACCACTCAAGGAGGAGGGGACCAACAGGGGGCCAACGGGGGACTCGCTTAGTCTCGGTCTTCCCTGCAAGGTCACCCGCGCGAGCCCCAGGCCTTCCGCGGCGCCCCGCCCTGCTCGCCGACACGCCCCCACGGCTCTCCAATGGTCGGGCGCGCGGCCTCCCCGCCCCGCCCCGGGCCAATCACGTTCTCAGGAAGACAGCCCCGCCCGCGCGGTGTCACGGAGGGCGGGGCGGGGCGGGCGCGTGAGGATTGGCCGGCGCGCGGCGGTTACCCCCTGGCCGCGGCGGGCCGTGCGTCCCGGACGGCCGGAGACCCACCGAGCGCGGTGCCCAGTCCCGCCCGGCCCGACCCCGGCGCCTCGGGTAAGTCCGCCCGCCGCGCAGAAGGGGAGGAGGCGGCGGCGCCCGGCGAGGTCCGCGTGGCCGAGAACTTCGGTGGCCGCGAGTGACCTGAGCCCTCCCGGGCGCTCGCGCCGCCTCCGAGTCCCGGGCCGAGTTCTGCGTCCTCCCGGCGGATGGGTGGGTTTGACCCCCACCTCCTCGAGGAGGAACCCGAGGTTCCGATAGAGTGAAACTTGCCCGGGGTCCTACAGCCAGGACGTCCATCTCAGAGCCCGGTCCCCGAGGCCACTTGGGGAAGTAGCCAGCTCGCCCTCGCCCCCTGCGGGCCAGAGGACTGTCGCACCCGCGGGCTCCTTCCGGACCTCTCCCCACGACACTCAGGTCCGGCTGCAGCCCAGACCTCCCTCCTCACATCTTATCCCCACACTGGTCCAAATACTTACTTCCCCAGACCAGCCCCCCTCGCCTCTGATCAGGTCCCCGCTAGTGTTCAGGTCCTGAACCACGCTGGGCCGGAAACCTGGGGTGTCTCCAGGCCCCTGAGTTTCTGTCCTGCCCTCCCGTTTTTTTTGTACCTCGGACAGAACCCAGGGGATCCTTCACCACTGAGCCACATCCCCAGCGCATTTTATTTTTTTATTTTGAGACAGGGTCTTGCTAAATTGCTTAGGGCCTGGCTAAATTTCTGAGACTGGCTTTGAACTTGGGATCCTTCTTCCTCAGCCTCCTGAGCCATTGGGATTACAGGCTTGCACCACCATCCCCTGCGACCTGCCCCCTCTTCTACATCTGCCCCCCAACCTAGTAGACCCCAGCCCCAATCTCCTGTCAAGGCTCCTCCTCCAATCCAGCCCCACCAAGGTCATGGAAGCCTTTTCGTTTTATTTATCTTGAAAACTTTTAAAGGGGAGTATATCACATATACAGAAAACAGTGCAAACCATAAATACACTGCTCAAATAAATCTTCACGAAGTGAACACCTGGTGTAAACAGTGATGGAACATTCTCCAGAAACCCTCAGGGTGCTTGACTATCTTAACATGTTTCACCACAAATTGGTTTTAGGTTCAACCCCCTACCTTTTTGGAGGGGGCATTGGAGATTGAACACAGGGGTGTTTTATTGTTGAGGTTTTTTTCTTTCGTTTTAAGATGGGGTCTCTCCAAGTTACTGAAGCTGGCCTTGAACTTGTGATCCTCCTTGGGCATTCCCACTATGCCAAGGAAATAGTCCTTTCTTTGTGTTTTTTCTTTCTTTCTTTCTTCTTTTTCTTCTTCTTTTTTTTTTTTTTAATGGGACTGGGGATGGAACCCAGGCCTCACACATGCTAGATAAGTGCTTTACTACTGAGCTACATCCCAGGCCTTTTATTTTGAGACAGGATCTTGCTAAGTTGCCCAGTCTGGCCTTGAACTTGCCATCCTCCTGCCTCAGTCTCCCAGGTTTCTGAGAGTACATGCATGGCCACTGCACTAGGCTTCTATATTTTTTCTCTACGGGACAACATAGTATACATTGTCCAAAATTCAAAAGGGTGAAACTCAAGTCTCCATCACACTGTTTCTCACCCAGTTTAGACCCAGTTTCCCACCTGAGTGTCTGGTCCTTGTAGCTGCCAGAGACAGTAGATAAAGATTTTGATATAAATGAAAATATTTCATACACTCTATTTTCCTTTTTTTTTTTTTTAACAGTACTACAGATTGAACCTGAAGGGTCTATACCACAGATGATACATCTCAGCCTTTTTGAGACAGATTCTCACTAAGTTGCTGAAATTGACCTAAAACTTGTGATCCTCCTGCCTCAGCCTCACAAGAACTGGGATTATAGGCATGCACCACTGCACTGGGCCTCCTTTTTCACTTCTCTTGAATTTTCCTTATCGTTAAAGAGCTTCCTGGTAGTTGTTTCTAGCTGCACAGAATTCTGTAGTAGCAGCCAGTGTCCTAACTGTGAACATTTAGATTTATTTCTGCTCCTTTGCCCTGCCAGAGTGCTGTGGTCAGTAACCTTCGTCATTTCACAGGGATGTCTGCCAGATAAAGACTTAGGGGCAGATTTCTGGGGCAGAGGGTTTGTGTATCTATCATTTTGAGAAATGGGGCCTTGTAGTTGTCACCTGGAGTCACTGTCCACACTGCTGCCAGCCTGAAGGGGAGCTCCTCAGTGTACTGACGCCCTCGGACTCCCTGAGCTGCCCACTCCCCTCACAGAGATTCCAGGGCCTAAGTGACCCACCAGGGAGCTCTCCAGCAAGGACCCTTGGATGGGCTGGGGCTGGAGGGGTCCCCAGAACCTTGTTGGAGGGGGTTGCATCTCTGTCCTGAAGACAAATAGAAGCCATGGGGTCCGGGTTGTGGGAATGGCAACAGGAGCAACAGCTTTGTTTTCTAAAAGATCATCTCTCTCTCTTCACTTCTTGGGAAGAGATTTCAAGTAATCACAGCACTTATCACAGTTGTAATTATGTGATTAAATACTTTGCTGTGGTTTTGTTTTAGGAGGGGGGTATCCATTACATTTTAAAAATTGAGATAAAATTCATAAAACACAAAATTCACCATTGCTCTGGGGTGTAGTGTAGTGGTAGAGCTTCACATGCACAGGGTCCTGAGCTCAGTCCCAGCACTACCAAACAAGTCACCAACATAGTCTTCTGTTCACTCTTAAAGTTGAGATGTTACACATAAAACACATTTTCTATGGTAGATATACTAAGTTTTAATAATAAACACCTGTGGGCTCAGCACTCAGCTTAAAAATATTAGCAGTTTATTGTTTAGTGCCTGCCTCCCCCACCCTGGTCCACACTTCACGGGGTCCCCACAGTCTCTGTTTCACAAATGAGTCAGTGAATGAGTGAGTGTGCGGAGCCACCATTCAGAGTGGCTTCCCACAAGTGAGCACAAACAAACCTTCCATGTGTAGTGAGAGACCTGCAGAAAAACGCCACCAGAACTCCCCCCACTGTGCAGCAGCGTGGGGACCCAGAAACAGGCCTCCTCGGGACACTGGCTGGGGCACACCTGGGACACACCAAGGTTCTTGGAGATGCTCTGATGGAGGGAGTCAGGCCAGACCTGGGGCAAGTCAGGGGCTCCCTGAGACTCAGTTTCCTCCCTTGTAGAAGGATTGCTGGGCAGGTAGCTTCACCAGTCCCATCCTCTTTCTTCTTTTTCTATTTTAAAAAAAGTGGTAAAATACATAGAACATAAAACCTGTGTGTGTGTGTGAGTGTGTGTGTGTGTGTGTGTGTGGTGCTGGAGTTGGAGCCCAAGGCTTCACCTGCTCTACAGCTGAGCTGCACTCCAGCCCAAAGACTTACCCTCTTCATTATAAAACGTGCAGCTAAGTAGCTCTTAGTACGTTCATGATGTTGTGCAACTGTCACTACTGCCTCAATCAGAACATTTTTGTCACCCTAAATTGAAATCTTGAATCCTTAACAGTCACCCCAGGTTCCTCCTGCCCCAGTCCCTGGCAGCTGCCACTCTGCTTTCCTGCTCTGGGTTAGCCTATTCTGGATATTTCTTACAAGTAGAAACACACACCGAGCGGCCTTGTTACTGACCTCTCACTGAGAATATGTGGTGTGACGCCTTGGTCCTTCGTTCCCTTGTAGGGCTGAAGGACACCCGCTGGGGTGTGCCATCTTCTTTCTTTCTTCCTTTTTTTTGAGAGAGAGAATTTTTAAAATCTATTTTTTTTCCTAGTTCTCGGCGGACACAACATCTTTGTTGGTATGTGGTGCTGAGGATCGAACCCGGGCCGCACGCAAGCCAGGCGAGCGCGCTACCGCTTGAGCCACATCCCCAGCCCTGTTTGCCATCCTCTTTCCAAGACCTGGGAGGGAGTCTGCCAGTGTATTCTGCACTGGGTGAACGGGGGAGGGAGAAGAGCCAGCGGCCACCCTGGGAAGTCAGGTTCAAAGGCTCTGCAAGCCCCGCAGCTGCAAGGGGTGGGGTGGGGAGAGCCACAGCCTGGAGAGTGCAGTCCTTTTCTCTCAAGGGGCACATCCCAACTCTGTGTGTCCCTGGGAAGGTCACTTCACTGCTTGGTCCTTAGTTTCCCCAGAGGTGAGGTACAGTTGAGGCTTCACGTAGAAGCCTCATGGGAGGGCGCTGGACACATGGCAGAGCATGAGCCCAGAACCCTGTTAGTGGCAGGTGGAAACTAAGGTCATAGAAATGCTTGCTGATGTACAGTCTCCAGGATGGAGAGGTCTGGGAGGGTGACACTGGGGACCATGATGGTCAGGGCCACAAAGGCTTCCCAGAGAAGCGTCCTCCTAGCTGAAGAAGATGGGAAGAAGATGCAGGAGATCAGTAGATGCAAAGGTCTGGAGTAAGCAAGTCCGGGGTGAGGACCCCAGGCGGAAACCATGCCCACCCTGGATGGGAACTGCAGAATGTGCTGGACTCCCTCCCTGCTGAGCCTGCCCCCTGCCTGTCTCCCACTTGAAGGAATGGCAGCAGCCAGGACCAGCCTGGGCCGAGTCCTCCCGGGATCCTCCATTCTGTTCCTCTGTGACATGCAGGAGAGATTTCGTCACAGTATCGTCTACTTCCCACAGATTGTCTCTGTGGCTGCTCGAATGCTCAGGGTATGTGTCAGCCGATTACCTGGATCAGAAGTCCAGGCCCAGCCTCCTCCTTCAGACCCGGGGTCCAGGCCCAGCCTCCTCCCTCAGACCCAGGGTCTAGGCCCAGCCTCCTCCCTCAGACCAGGGTCCAGGCAGCCTCCTCCCTCACAGGCCATAGACCATCTTTCTTCAGACCTAGGGTCCAGGCCCCAGCCTTCCTCCCTCAGAATAAGGCCTTTGTTCCCTCTCTCTGGCACAGGTGGCCCGACTGCTGCAAGTCCCAGCCCTGCTGACAGAGCAGTACCCACAAGGCCTAGGCCCCACAGTCCCAGAGCTGGGGGCTGAGGGCCTTCAGCCAGTAAGCAAGACCTGCTTCAGCATGGTGCCCACCCTGCAGCGGGAGCTGGACAGCCGGCCCCAGCTTCAGTCAGTGCTGCTGTGTGGCATTGAGGCCCAGGTTTGCATCTTGGTAAGATTCCGCACTGATCCCCTGGGGCCCCACATTCTCACCTGTAGGGACCTCCTCTGACCGGGGACTTACTTCCTAACCTGGGCCCCTGCTCTGATGTGAGCCTCCCTCAGCCCCATTCTGGGTCCCCAGTTCTGACCCAGCCCCTCACTTGGGCCCCTGGTTCTGGCCTGGGTTTGGTTCTGACCTTTCTCCACCCTAGCACACAACTCTGGACCTCCTCGAACGGGGGCTGCAGGTCCACATTGTGGTGGACGCCTGCTCCTCACGCAGGTGAGAGTCCCTCCCAGGAGAGGATGTGTGTGGGGGTCAACTGGGGCCACGTGCCACATGTGCACATGAGTATCAGGTGTCTTTGCCACAGCATGGACCCCTGCCCTCTCTTCCTCGGACTTGCTTACAGTCAGGTGGACCGGCTGACAGCGCTGGCCCGAATGAGGCAGAGTGGTGCCTTCCTCTCCACCAGCGAAGGACTCATCATGCAGCTTGTGAGGGATGCTGCCCACCCCAAGTTCAGGGAGGTAATGGATCCTGGTGTCCCCTTGCTGGGCCACCCTGCACAGGAGAATGTGTATGGGCGTGGGGTAGGCTAAATTCTGGTGGAGGATTGCTCGCCACCATGATACATAAATGAAAGGACATGTCAGATGCCCATAAAGACTCCAGAGAACAAGAGGGATGATGTGGGGTGTTGGAGTGCAGAGGAGGGGCTTACATGGGGTGGTTCAGGAGGCTTCTGAAGTTGGTGGTTTAGAATGAAATAAGGAAGCCAGGCGGACATGGGGTGGACAGTCCAGCAGAGACCCTGTGAGCAGAACCCCTTGACACCCTGATACCCACCGCCAACTCTTCATGCCCTGGGCTTTTGCCCCATTGGGTGCTGGTGCCCATCCTCACCCTCTTCTGGTGCCTGACCAAATGCTAGTGTGCTCTCCCCACCACACCTTCAAACCCCTAGGCCTCAAGATGATGGGAAAAGACTCAAACTAGAAAGCCCCAGTTCTTGCCCCTCCCCTTCCTTACGTGCTGTTGAGCATCTGTTGAGCATCTGTTGAGCCACGTGGTTTGGCCAGGCAATGGCAGAATCAGCCCTCCTGGAGCAAGTAATGCAGTGTGGAGACAAAAAGCCAATCCATGTTCAATAACAGGTTGTGACCCGGAGCTGGAATGTGCAGAGGGCGATGATAGGTCATCTGGAACCCAAAACCTGGAGGGTAGGAGCAGTCAGTTCCTTCCCTGGTGCAGGGAACAGCTGGGATAAAGCCCAGAGGGTGGGACTGAGCTTGCCTTATTTGAGGAACTGTATGTTGGAGGACATAGTCGGTGCTGGGCAGGTATGCGGAAGAGGCAAAGAAGGCAGGAGGTAGAGCCACTTCTTGGCAACGATTTGGGATTTTAGCACTAGGCAGTCATCAGGGTTTTACACAGTAGAGCTGACCATAGTCAGATCAGCAAATAAAAAGATTTTCTGCTAAAAGGATGGGTCAGGTTGAGGGGAGAGGGAGTCCAGCAAGGGGGCAACTTCAGGCATCGCGGCAAGCAGTGATAGGGGCTTCACTAGGGTAGAAGCAGTGCAGATACAGCCTTGGTTTTTGTTGTTTAATTTTCCAGAGATAAACTTGGTGGAACTTTTTGATGGATGAAATGTGGTTGGTTGTTCATATCCAATAGGTAGTTAGGATAAATGGGTTGGAGTTCAGGGGGCAAAGCCTGGGCTGGATTTTGGGAATCAAAGACCAGAAGAGTGATGGAGAAAGGAAATAACTGAAGAGGAAGTGTAGACCAGAATCCCTGGACAAAGCCATCCCTGTTTAGTGGTGCAAGCCAGCAAATCAGACTGAGATGGTTTGAAGTTATGACTTAAACCAGACAGATGTGATGAAAAGGAGGCCCTGGGAAAGCTTTTGAGAAGAGAGAAGAGTTGACTTAGTCAGCGGCTGCCAAGAGTGTCAGGGAAGGTGAAGATGGAGATGTGTCCCTCTGATGTGTCATCATGCAGATGGGGACCCTTGAAGACTTCCTGACTCCTCCCTCCCTCTACAGATCCAGAAGATCATTAAGGAGCCCGTCCCGGACAGCGGGCTGTTGGGCCTCTTCCAAGGCCAGAACCCCCTTTTCTGATGAATCTCCAGCCCTAACTTGAGGGGATACCACCCTCCTGTTACCCCATGGAAGTGCTCTTCCCCCATCCCTGTATCCCAAGAGTGGTGCCGTCCACCAGAGGTACCGCCCCCTTGGGAGGGGAGGCGTGGTTATGCCTTCCCATTGGGCAATTCTTCCCGGAAATGCAAATGAAATTCCTGGGAGCTGGGCGGGAATTGGCTGAGAGCGAGGTGGGGGTGGGGCTGGGCCCCGGGCCACTTCAAGGGCCTGAACGGGGAGGGGGAAATAGTATTACAGACTGGGACCCGGACTCGCAGAATAAACATTGATGTGGCTGTAGACCGAACCATTATTGGGTTTGGGGGGTTTCCTGGGGGCGACTGGGGTCCGCGGGTGGGAGAAAGAGGGGTCCTAAGCAAGTGGGGAGGGGGAGGTGCCTTTTCTCAGTCTGTGCAAGGCACTGGCGAGGACCGGCCGCTGCCACATCTGCACGGAAGCCGGCGCATCTGCACGGGAAAAAGCACCGCTGGCCGGGGTCGCCGCCACGCTGCGCCCCCATCGGCGCGGTGCGCGCACGCCCAGCCCGGCTGGCTCGCAGACACGCGCTCGCTGTGCCTCCCCCGGCCAGCCCCCACGCCACCACCCCCGACTCCCTGAGGGTCCCGCATCCGGAAGGTGAGGTGAGCGCGACCGCACCCGGTGCGGAAGGGGAGACTGAGGCACTGGACAGGGAGGAAGGAGCAGGCATGTGGATGGATGGGTGGATGGATGGATGGATGGAAGAAGAGACGGCTGCGTTGAGTGGTCCCTGTGCCCCGACGACTCAGGAGTCCAGGGACTCACATGAGAGCTCCAAGATTCTGCAGCCCCCTTGAAAATCTGGGAATTAGAACTCTATAGACGCCCAACCCCCCGGAGATTGACAGTCCTTGCCCCCTCCCAAGACTTGGGGACCTAGGAAGGTATCCTCTGCGTCCCCCCGGAATGCAGGGACGAGAGCCCGTAGCCAGCCAGCCCTTCACTACCGATGCTGGCAGCCCAGACCCCTCCCAGAAGGCCCGGCAGCACAGAGCCCAGCACCCCGTTCCCTGGGAGTAGGAGTCCCAGCCGCCCCTCCTCTGGAGCCCCTGGGACGGGAGTCGGCACCCCCGGCCCCCGCCTTCCGGATCCAGGTGTCCCCTCTGCACCCCCAGCCCGAAGCCTGCGTCTGGAGCCGCGCTCTCGTCACCATGGCAACGGGAGTCTATTTTGCGCTGGGAACACACAGCTCCCGCCGCAGCGCCCCCCACCCACCTCTCCTGAGAGTGGGGGCCGGAGGGGCGGGGGTCCGAGGAAAGGGGACTCTGGCATTCAGAGGGACAGAGGCACGCAGAGACAGGGAGCCAGAGGCAAAGGGACAGAATGTGGCGGAGACCGGGAAGACGCAGAGCCCAGCGGGGGAGGCAGGGGATGAAGGCTAAAACAGGGGGCGGATTGAGACCCAGATGCTGAGACCGAGACCCAGGCAACGCCGAGATGCCACAGACCTATAGGAGACTGTGACCCAAGGGCAGATCCCGGCAGCGACAAAGACCGGCAGTGGGCGGGCCGAGGAGGGGGCGGTGAAGGCAGGGGTCCAGGGAAGATAGATTAACGGGGACGCCTGGGGCTGGAGACCCCGGAGATGGAACCACACGGGTCCGTATCTGGTCCCCCTCAGGTGTTCATCCGGGGAGGGTCGGGGTGTGGTCCTTGCCTTCCGGCCCTGCCACCTCTGCTCAACCTCCCCCCTCCCCTGAACCGGCACCCAGACCCCGCTTCTCCCTCCGCTTTCTCCTCCTGTGGGTCCTCCTAGCCTGCTTCTGACATTCCCACCCCAAACTGCCTGTGAACCCCATGTTCCTGGAAACCCCTCCTGCCCCTCTCCATTGCATCCCCAGCCCCTCCACTGCCACTTGCTGACCCCATTGCTGCCATTCCAGAGGCTCTGACCCTTTCCAGTCTCCATGCCCCTCTCTCCCTCCCTCCACCTCGGTCTGTGCCCCCCAGTTCCCTAGGTGTGTGTCTTCCTCTGCTCACCACTGCCCTGTCCCCCTCTCTCCACCTTTCACCTCCCCCCACGCACCACTCCTGGGGGGCATATCTCCTCCCTTCTCTCTCTCCCTTCCCTGTCCCCTGACTCTTTCTGAACTCTCACCCCTCTCCCGGATCTCGACTTCCCCGTCAGTGTCTGCCCCTTGCTCTGGGCTTCTGGGCACCCTCAGCTCCCACCTCCTGCTGCTCTCTGTGGGGCTTCCCAGGGGGCAACTCATCAGGATCCACCGTCCCCCAGCTGGCAAGGCTGAGAGGGGGCAGCAAGAGAGTGGAATCTGGAATGGTGTTGCGTGGCAGGAGGGCCACAGGATGTGGACCCAGAGCAGAACTGCCTGGGCCTGGCTCCCTGATGTGTGTCCCCTGTCTCTCAAGTTGCAGGCCTGGCTGGAGAGGGCAGGCCAGGACAGTGCATGGACACTAGGGTCTGGCCTGCTCCTCCCAGCTGTGGAGGAGGACAGAGCAAGAGGTGGGGGCCTTCTGGGGGCGGGGTGGGGTGTCACATGCCTGCTTCCAGGCTCTCCATCCCAGGCGAGGGTGTTGCCACGTGTGCGTGCACCCCGAGGCTCTGTGGCTGAGCTGTGAGGGGCCCGCACAGATGTGTGCCCACTGCAGAGAGGTTGGCAGGCCCCTGGCTGGTTTCTGAGCTGCTGTGGCCCCAGCTTGTCATGGTGTCTGAGTCAAAGGTGCAGAAATGCATGGCTGTGTCCATGTGGAGCTGCGGGGACCACACTGGGGTCCTTGCACGTTGTGTCTGGTGCACTGTCTAGTGTCCTGTGCTCTGTGCCCCTGTGTGTGGGTAAGTGCTGTTGTGAGGTAAGGGAAGAGCTAGCCCCTGTTTTGTTGTTGTTGTTGTTTCTGGTCGGGCACTGTGTCTGCAGGTGTGTCCTCTGTCCACCTGTAGGTGCTGCCCGTATGGGGAGGTGCAGAAAGGCAGTTTGTGTGTGGGGAGACTGAGCTCGATGGGGAGCATGCTGCTCTGCCACCTCCTGGCTGGTCTTGCCATGCCCTGGCAGCGTGTCTCCCAGGTGTCCACTTGGATGCAGTGGAGGAGATAGCAGAATTCCTTTAGCAAGGGATGCCCAGCCAGAGGGTGGCACAGGATGGAGAAAGCAGAACTGCTACTCCACAGAACAGCCTTGTACAGACCAGTCAAAAGCCCCTCCTGTCCCATGAGCTCCCGAGTCTAGTGTTTCACAGGCAGATGGCAGCCTGTGAGTCTCCAAGGGCATCCCTTGCCCAGGTGGATGCAGCCCCTGTGGGGAGCAGGGTCCTACTGGGCCCCTCTGCCAGCGTTCTGCCTGCCTGGTTTTCGATGGCAGCCTCAGTGGTGAAGGACCCCAGGTGGCTGTGTGTGTATCACCCCCATCTCTGGGTGTGGGATAGAGCCACGCGCAGTCTGCAGGCCTCAGTGCCTGAAGACCAAGTTCAGAGGCCACTGCACCACTCCTGCCTGCACTGTGGGGCTCAGGCAAACAATAAGGGCTTTGGAGTTTGGATGTCCCCATCTGAAACGTGCATAAGACAGAGAGAAACCCCTCTCACACTTGTTTTATCTGTTCAGTAAACATTAATGGAGGGCTGGGGCCGGGGCTCAGTGGTGGAGCACGTGCCTAGCATGTTGAGGCACTGGGTTTGATTCTCAGCACCACATGTAAATACATAAAGGTACATTGACAACATGAATCGAACACCTACAAAGGACCAGGCACTAGTGCTGGGTGCCAGACACGGTGAGAGCGCTGACAGGAAGACCTGTCTTATGGATGTCTAGTGCAGGGGAGGGGGGCAATGGGACCCCACAACATGGCAGGTGGAGGCAGGAGTTAGAGGATACCAAGTGAGGAGGACACTGGCGCATGTCCAGGCTGCTGCCAGAGGCTGGACAGGAGGCCCGTTGGGAGAAGCAACACCAGAGGAAAGCAGGGGGGTCTTAGAAGAGAACAGCAAGTGCAAAAGGCAGAAAAGTGCCAGGTGTGGCCACACCTGGGATCCCAGCAGCTGGGGAGGCTGAGGCAGGAGGAGTGCAAGTTCAAGGCCAGCCTCATCTATTTAGGGAGACCCTGTCTCAAAATAAAAAGGGCTGGGGGGATGGCCCAGTGGTGAGGCGGCCCTGGGTTCAATCCCCTGTACCAAAACAAACAGGTAGGAAGTGTGCACCTGCTGGGCGTGACCCTGAGCAAGCAGGAAGGGCCACGGAGAAGAGGAGCAGGGCGCAGGGCTCCTGGCAGAGCTGGGGCTTACCTGGGTGGGGCAGCCTGGGTGGGTCAGAAGCATGTGTGCCCATCACTGCTGTCCTCACCCCCCAAAGGAGGCCCCCTACCCATTACACAGCCACTTCCGCCCCTCCCCTCAGCTCCAGGCAGCTACTAAGAGGCTTCCGGCCTCCGGATTTGACACTGTGGAATGCACACGGGGGAATCAAGCACTAAGACTGGCCGCTTCCCCAGAGCAATGCCTCACTCAGGGCTCCCCCAGGCAGCAGGCGTCAGCACTTGGCTTCTTTTCAGGGCTGACTAATAGTCCCACCGTACCTCTGTGTCTAGCTGTTCCACAGTGCAGGCGAACCACTCTAGACACAGCTAAACACCAAGCACAAGAGCCACAGGCAGTGGGCATCCAGGCTGGAGTTCAGGGATGGATCCCACTGGGAGCTCAGAGTGAAAGCTGAGGCCCCATGTGGGGTGAGGCGGCACCCGCACCCCCCAACCCTCTCCCCACCCAACTGCCAGCCACTTGTTGACAGTGTGTCCCTAGACACACACACGCACTGGAAGGGGACGGATAATAAAAACAGCACCTGATGATATGGTCGGGTTAGTCCCACCCACTCTCCTCCCGCTGATGCTGCTTACTTATGATCCCTCCTCGTTCACCAGTCTTCACAGCGCTATGCTCTCAACATGGATCACATTTATCTGTGTCCGTGACTCTCCCCGCTCACTGGAAGGCCACCCGCAGGCTGCCAGGGCCCTGTAGGCTAGCTCCCCACAGCACCCCAGGGCTCGGTAGGCACTGCCTGGCGGCCCTGTGCAGAAGGAGTCGGCATCCCGACCTGGCGCCACAGGGCCTGGGCTACTGAGGGCAGCTTCTGGGCATCCTCCGGTAGGAGCTGTCATCCTCTAGAAGGAGGGAGGAGGAAGCCTGCAGCTGCCCACTGCCCGCTGCCCGGTTCTGATGCTCGGTCGTCCTTCCTGGCAATGGAGCAAGTGCAGCCTCCTCTGCTCCCTAAAGGAAGCCAGGCATCCTCCCCACCTGCTATGTCCACTGGGTGGGCATGTCCAGGGCCTGGCTGGATTGTTGCCATAGAAACAGCGGGGAACCTGCCCTGAATGGCCCCAGACTCACTTCTCTACCCCCATCCAGTCTCCCTTCTGAAAAGAACAGTCCTTCCAGTCCATGAAATCCTGCGCGATGCCTCCAGAGCCCTTACAGGCTGGGTCCACCCTCCCAACAACCCTGGGGTGACCAGCCTTACTCCGGCCCTTGTCTTACAGTGAGGAAATGAGGCGTGGGGCTGTGGTCGGGTAAGAGCCATCAGGTGTCCAGTAGCTGCACTCCACTGAGCTGCAGATGAGCTGCCCTGCCAGTCTGCCTCCCCCACTGTGGACAGAGACACTTCAGACCTGAACTGTGAGAGTGTGGTGTGTATGAGACAGGGACGGAGAGAGGGGGCACTAAATAGAGGACAGAATGGGCATGGGGGCACCGAGGAGCCTGTGGGTGAGCCAGTGGCTCTCAGCCTGTGCCCCCATCTCCACCACGGGAACTCCGAGCAATGCCTGAGGTACCCTAGGTTGTCACAAACTGGGGGGCTGTGGATGCCGCTCATCGGTATTCACAGGACGGTCTCTCAGGACGAAGCCCGATTCCTGCCCCATGTCAGCAAGTCCAGGAGAGAACCTGGCGCGAATCCCCTGGCCTGCCTGGGCTGCCAGCTTCCACTCCCCCCGGGTCCTCCACCCCACAGTCCTGCCGTCCGCCGGCCTCTGCCTGCTCCCGCGCCTCCCGGGCTCTCTTGCTCCTCTGCTCTCCCCACCTCCCGCCCTCCTTGCCTCCTCCATCGCACCCTCCTTCTCCTTTGGCCTCTCTATTTCTGCGCACGCCCTGATGTCTCCGTGGACCCTCCGATCTTCCTCCCTCGGTCACTTGGTCTTTTCTCTGCGTGCCCCTGCCCTTTCCGTTCTCCTCCCCGGTGTGCGTCGCCTTTCCGTCGCGCTGGGATGCCCGCCCGACTCCGCGTGCGGCGGTCACCTCTGGGCCCCTTCCCTGCACCCCTCTGCCGTTCCCGGTCCTTCTTCCCACCCTGCCCGGCCACCTGTCTACGACTCTCCGCCTCTGGCCATCTCTCCCCTGCCCACACTCCAGCCTCCGCTTTCCGTTCCGCAGCAGCCTGGCGGCCGACCTCCTGCGCTCATGCCGGCCCTCCTGCTCCTCGGGACCCTCGTGCTCCTGGCCTCCACCGCCGGCCAGGCCGGGGCGCGCCCGTCCAACGCCACGAGCGCCGACCCCCCCGGCCCGCTGCCCGCCCTGTTAGCGCACCTGCGGCGCCTGACCGGGGCGCTGACGGGCGGCGGGGGCGCGGCGGGCCCGGGCGCCAACGGCACCAGGACCAGCCCCGCAGGCGGCCCCGGCGCAGCAGCCCGGGCGCCGCCTCCTGCCGAGCTCTGCCATGGCTACTACGATGTCATGGGCCAGTACGACGCCACCTTCAACTGCAGCACGGGCTCCTACCGCTTCTGCTGCGGAACCTGCCACTACCGCTTCTGCTGCGAGCACCGCCACATGCGCCTGGCGCAGGCCTCCTGCTCCAACTACGACACGCCGCGATGGGCCACGACGCCGCCGCCGCTGGCCGGGGGCGCGGGGGGCGCCGGGGGCGCGGGCGGGGGCCCAGGGCCAGGCCAGGCCGGGTGGCTGGAAGGGGGCCGTCCTGGGGGTGCGGGGGGACGAGGGGGCGAGGGCCCTGGAGGCAGCACCGCCTATGTGGTGTGCGGGGTCATCAGCTTCGCCCTGGCCGTGGGCGTCGGAGCCAAAGTGGCCTTCAGCAAGGCGTCCCGCGCGCCCAGGGCGCACCGCGAGATCAACGTGCCCAGGTGCGTGTGCGTTGGGGAGCCAGGGTAGGAACCTGGGGGCGGGACCTGGGCCGTGGGAAGTGGAGCCTTTGGGCGAGGGCGGGCTCCAGGGATGGGGTGGACCAGAGGCCCAGGGAGACGGGGCCTGAGACTGGAGAAGACCAGCCCACTGGGCTGTCGATGACTGAGCGGGGAGAGCCGGCCTTCCTTCACCCAACAACTATTTCTTTTTCTTTTTTCTCTTTTTCTTTTTGGTACTGGGGACTGAACCCAGGGGCGTTCTACCACTGAGCTATATTTCCAGACCTTTTTATATTTTGAGTCATGGCCTCACTAAGATGGGTAAGGCCTCATTAAATTCTAAGAACTTGTGATCCTCCGGCCCCAGCTTCCCACGTTACAGAAATGTGCCACCATGCCTGGCCTCCACCAACGTTTCTCAGTTACCTTCTGTGGGTCAGGAACTGGGATTACTGCATGACCAAACAAGGTCCCGCCTTCTGGACAAACCTAGTCCTGCTGCCGCGGGCTGTGTGGCCCAGGGGCACCAGCTTAACCTTTTTTTTTTTTTTTAGTTGTAGATGGACGCAGTACCCTTATTTTATTTATTTACTTTTATGTGGTGCTGAGGATGGAACCCAGGGCCTCGAAGGCACCTGCTAGGCGAGCGCTCTCCCGCTGAGCCCCAGCCCAGCCCTGCTTGGCCTCTGTGTTTCCTTGTCTGTAACAATCCTGACCTATGGGACTGTAGTGAAGATTAACTGAGTTGGTTCGGGTAGAGTCCTGGCGTGGCAGGTGCAGCCCGGCACACTGGTGCAGGCCTGTAATCCCAGTGACTTGGGATGCCGATTGGGAGGATCACAGCTCCAGGGCAGCCTCATCAGCTTAGACTCTGTCAAAAAAAATAAGATAAATATGGGGTGGGAGGTAACTCAGTGGTAGGGAACACTGGGTTCAGTCCCAGCACCTCCCCTGCCATGCAGACAAGCCCTGTGTCTGCAACCAAGTATGCATGCAATATAATTTTAGATATTAGTAATGGCTTGAAGGGAAAAAAGCCCCATCAAGGGCTGAGAGTGTGGGGAAGTCTGGTTTAGATGAAGTGGTCAGAGAAGGCCTGTCTGAGCAGAAACATGAAGAGAGTGATATCTTGGGAAGGGCATTCCAGGCAGAGGAGCAGCATGTACAAAGGCCCTGAGGTGCCCTGACAGCAGCAGGAAAGGGACTGGTTCAGCTGAAGTGGTAAGCAAAGAGGCAAGGATCAGCAGTCCAGGCCGAGTGACTCTAACTGTGGAGGGGGCTCTGGGAGGGTCCTGACCTTGGGGGAGAAGCACCCAGGCTGTGGGTGAGACTAAACTGCCGGGCAGAAGTGGGGACACTGGGCAGGAGGCCAGGGCAATGTCGGGGCACCGGGAGCTGGCGGCTCACGGGAAAGGTGGGAATGAGGAGTCGTGGTGACGGCGAGGTCTGGGGTCTGGGTGACTGGGCTCCTTTGTGGCTTCCAGTTTCAGGATGGGACAGAGCCACCAGGAGCATGTGCAGGGACCACATGGGATGGGGCCATGAGCTGGGAAGGACCCTTCAAGGGGAAGTATGGCCTAGAGAGGGCGCCAGGGACTCCCCGGAGGAGGGGACAGGAGGGAAGGGCCCGGCCTCTCTCCTCCCTCCTGTCCCCAGGCCTTGGGCCACTGACCATCCCTCTGTCCCACTTAGGGCCCTGGTGGACATCCTGAGGCATCAGGCGGGGCCTGGAACCCGTCCGGACCGGGCCCGAAGCAGCTCCCTGACCCCAGGGACTGGGGGTCCCGACAGCATGCCCCCCAGGACGCCCAAGAACCTCTACAGCACAGTGAAGCCCCCCAACATCGGTGAGTGGTGTCACCGGGCTGCCTGGTCTGACGCGCCCTCATCCCTGTGGCCTCGCCCCCAGCCCCCCTCGGGCCCACGGCCTGCCCCCAGCCTCTGCCCGTCCTGAGCTGTCCTGCACTCAGCACCCGTGGGCTCGGCAGGCGTTCTGAGTGCACCGAGGAGGCGTCCCAGAGCTGTAAGGAGGACAAAAGGGTCTCCTCTGTCCTAGGGGAGGAGGGCTCCCCAGAGTGATGTCTGAGCCAAAGAGCTGTAGGGTGAGGGGCTACTGCAGCCTCGTAGGCCCTGGGCAGCTGGGCCAGCTGGAGGCCAGGGAGAGGCTGGGGCTGAAGAAGGAGAGACTGCCTGGTCCTGAGGGCCACGGGAGCCACGGGGAGCAGCGAGGACTGAGCTGGAGTCGGGGGAGGGGAGGAGAGGGTCTGAGGACAGAGAGAGGGAGAGAGAAATAGAGAGAGAGAGAGGGAGGGGGAGAAGGGCTTCAAGGCAGCCAGAAAAGAATAACAGCATGTGCAAAGGCCCTGGGCAGAACTGAGCTGGGCTTATGCAGGCCTCAGAGAGAGGAGCAGCGAGAGGGAAGATGAGGCTTCAGATTTCCAAGGCCTCATCGCCATTCCCAAGTCCCATGTCGTCCCATGGGTGAGGGTGAGCCGTAGGAAGGGTTTCCGCAGAGGACGGGCAGCAGTGTGTCGAGATGCACTGGCTGAATGGTCAGGGGGAGAGCATGGGTCAGGGTGGACACCTGGAGGCCAGGAGGGACCAAGCAGACATGAGTGGGGAGGTGGAGGGAGGCTCTCTGGCCTGGACTTTAGAGTGGATGTGGCCGCAGCCCCTCCCCAGCCACGAGCCTGTGCCGCCTGCTGCCCCCTGCAAGTCCCCAACTGTCACCATACACAGCCAATGGCTGGTCTGACCTGGGAGCCCCAGTGAGGCCTGACCGAGGGCTGAGCTCAGGGCCGGGATCTGTCCAGGAGGTGGGGGCAGCAGGGGCAGTGACATCGCCTCCTTCTCGGTCCCCTCAGAGAATCTGCACCACAACTACCTGCACCTCAGCGCCAACAGCCCCACGCACCGAGCCGCCATGCTGGGTACGCAGAGGGCTCCCTCCCGCCGTGGGTGCCCGAGCCAGGCCTGGGAAGGAACCGGAGTGAGGTGCCCTGTGCCCTGCTCACAGCACCCACAGTGCCAGCCACCAAGGCAGCCTCCGTGTCCTCCAGTGGACATGGAGGGGTCCTCCTTCCACCCATGTTAGAGGGGGCACACACGGGCTGCACCCCAACCCCAGACAGGTGCCAGCTTGCAGTGTATCTTCCTCCCTGCAACAGGCCTGGGTACTGGTGTGGGGCAGCTAAGGTGACTGGATTGCTTTGAGGGGCTGGGGTCCCAGATTTCTGCCTCCCCCAGGGAAGGGGCCCAATTGACTAAGTGGGTCTGTGGGTGGAGGACTGGGGTCTGGACCCTGGGTCTAAGGGAGGAGGGTTGAGCCTGGGTCTGAGGGAGGAGGCTGGGCCTGGACCCTGGGTCTGAGGGAGGAGGCTGGCCTGGACCCCGGCCAGGGTCCATGTATGTGTTGGGTCTGGACCCAGGGCTGACCCCTGCCTGCTCCCCAGACTGGAGGGCCCTGCCGCCACCCAGCCCCTCCCTGCACTACTCCACGCTGTCCTGCTCTCGCTCCTTCCACAACCTCTCGCACCTGCCCCCGTCCTATGAGGCTGCTGTGAAGTCGGAACTGAACCGCTACTCCTCCCTGAAGAGGCTGGGTGAGTCTGGGGAAGGGGACAGGGGTTGGGTTCAGGGCACTGGACAGTGACCCTACAGTCCTCTAAAAATTTAGATCGTCTCTCAGTCTTTTATCCACATTTGTTCCAGAATTACCCAAGGCAATTTTACATTAGAATTACCTGGGGGATCTTTTTTAATGAAAATTCATGGTTTACCCTCTGAAGACCTATGGCATTTGTGGGGGTGGTACTGGGGTTTGAACTCAGTGCTCAACCCCTGAGCCACGTCCCCAGCCCTATTTTGTATTTTATTTAGAGACAGGGTCTCACTGAGTTGCTTAATGCGTGCCTCGCTTTTACTCAGGCTGGCTTTGAACTTGTGATCCTCCTGCCTCAGCCTCCTGAGCTGCTGGGAGTACAGGTGTGTGCCACTGCACCTGGCCACCTATTGCATTTTTCAGTAATATAACTTAAGCAAAGAAAACAAGTTCTTGTTGGCTTGATCATGGAAAGTCTACATGTCTCTACCTTGAGATATGGCTGGATCCAGCAGCTCAAGAGTTTCTTCAGTATTTTATAGTCTCAGCTTTTCTAAACAAGCTGGCCTCATTTTCAGACAGGTTCTCTCCCCATAATCCCAAAGATTGCCCCATGAATTTTCCGGCTGTCATTCTACCATGTCAGCTTAAGTCTCCCTGGCAGAAAAGAATCCCTTTACTGCGATCCCAGCAAAAACCCCAGGCCTGGATACCACTGGTCTCATGCCACTCTCTGAACCAATCATCGTCACCCTGGTTAGGCATTTCCCAGCCTGGGATTTTCCCTGGTGGTGGAGTAGCTTTCTAACATTTTGAACTGAAAACCACACTAAGACATGCTTTTTATATCACGATCTGTGAGGCACACATATATGCATACTTTTAACTGCAGAAAAGCTTTGAAACTAGTTATCATGGGCATTTTCAAACACTTGTGGAAGTAGAGAACATTTGTAAATGAAGCCCATGTTCCCTCTCAGCTCTAGCCACCAGCCTCATTCTGTTTCCGTCCTCTCTGTGCCTGTCTTTTTGGGGGTGGGTTCTGATAAACTAACCCCAGGCGTGGGGCCGTTTCATCCCCTAACATCGGAGCCTCCCTATCTGGACCCTGTATTCTTCATCCTGAGGATGTCTGTTGGTCTAGCCTTCTTTCCTATTCTATCCCCTTTTCCAAACTGCGAGTCACTACCCGCAAAACTCACTGCACCTCCCGGCAGTGACTCTAAATGCCAGGAGTGAGGAAGAGTGCTCCAGGTGAAAGGGGGGTGAAGAGAGTCCCCCAGAGCCAGAGTGGTTCACCTCCGGAAAGAAGGGGTTCTCAGAGGCCAAAGAGAGGGACCCCGCCTCCCGCCCGGCAGTGGAGTGGGGCGCGGGGCTGTGCGCAGCCCCAACCCGGGGCCCTTTGGGCGCACCCGCGGGAGCTCCCCAGGCAGCGGGGGGGAAGCAGGCCCTGGGCCGCCGGGAGGGAGACTCTGCACCTTGCCCCTTCTTCCCCAGCCGAAAAGGACTTGGACGAGGCCTACCTGAAGCGCCGGCACCTGGCCGAGATGCCCCGCGGGACGCTGCCCCTGCACGCGCTGCGGCGACCCGGCACTGGAGGCGGCTACCGCATGGAGGGCTGGGGTGGCCCGGAGGAGCTGGGCCTGGCGCCCGCGCCCAACCCGCGGCGGGTCATGTCCCAGGAGCACCTGCTGGGCGACGGAGGCCGGGCCTCGCGCTACGAGTTCACGCTGCCTCGCGCGCGCCTCGTGTCGCAGGAGCACCTGCTCCTCTCCTCGCCTGAGGCCCTGCGACAGAGCCGCGAGCACCTGCTGTCGCCCCCGCGCAGCCCAGCGCTGCCCCCCGAGTCGGCCCCCCGGGCCAGCCTGGCGGCCTCACACTCCAACCTGCTGCTGGGGCCGGGGGGCCCCCCGACGCCGCTGCACGGGCTGCCGCCCTCCGGCCTGCACGCCCACCACCACCACGCCCTGCACGGCTCGCCCCAGCCCGCCTGGATGTCCGACGCCGGGGGCGGGGGCACGCTGGCCCGGAGGCCGCCCTTCCAACGCCAGGGCACCCTGGAGCAGCTGCAGTTCATACCTGGCCACCACCTGCCCCAGCACCTGCGCACTGCCAGCAAGAACGAGGTGACTGTCTGAGGCCGGGCGGGGGGCCACGGGCTGCGGCCTTCCAGGTCCCCTGCCCCAAGTCGGGATCCACCGGCACAGGCTCGCACACCCCAGGGTCCAGAGACCCAGATGGGCCCTTGGAACCGAGACAAAGCCTCCCGCCAGGATGCCAAACAGCAGACAAGATCCCTCCTCCTATTATGTCACTGAGTCCATGCCTCCTTCCCATGATGTCATCGCAGAGGAAGAGGCCTGCACATGAAGTCACTAGCAGAAATGTCTGTGTTCTTTGATGTCACTAGCGGGACAAAATCCCTTCCCATGAGGTCTGCCTATGAGGTCATCACTAGAGGCCGCATCTACTCTCTATGACATCACCACAGACTTTCTAGGATATCCCTGCAGAGGCCAGTCTCACCCTCTGAAGTCATCCTGAGCTCCGAGGCCTCTCTGGCAGCAGTGTTGGGGGGAAAATACTTTCCTTCTTGTTTTTGCTATGGACAAGATGCCTGTGTCCTAGGATGTCATTGCTACAGACAAAGCCATCTCTCTGGGACACACTGCAGGAGAAATGCCTTGCTGGTTGTGTCCTCACCAAAGGTAAGGCCTCCTCTCCACAACACCGTCACAGAACTCTGCCCCCTTCCTGGGATGCTGTCACCAGAGAAGCTGCCTTGCCCTATGATGCCACCAGAGGGGCTGTGGCTGTCCCTGGGGGATGCCATCACCAGAGATGACAACCTGCTCCTGTGACCTCTCCAGAATGAGGCGCTTTGGCAATGTCACCACCAAACGCCACCCACGGGGGTGGTGATGACACCAGGGGACACCTCACTGCTGTTGCCATGTGTGAGAGGGCGAGGCATGATACTGAGCCAGGACCACCCTGTCCTGAGATGTCACCTAAGTGTCACCACTCAGAGGCCACCCTCTGGGACCAGTCTCCACCAGTGAGGACTGTGTGGCTGTCGGCTGTTGACAGTGACGCTCCACGTTTCAGCGTGGAGCTTCCCAAGAGCTTCCCCTCAGAGGCAGTGTCTGCTCAGAACACCCATCACTGGTGACGGTGTCACCAGAGTTTCTGCCCCATCCCACTACAACTTGGCTTGGTGGCTCCTTCCCTGACCCCAGGGATATGACCACCATGATGCCTGCCAGAGCCTCTAAAGGGAGGTTGGGCCCCTGTGCAGTGACTCCTAGGAGCGGTGTCCCTAGATGGGCTTCTGCTCCAAGGAGCCCACTCTGACCCACCTAGCTTCTGGAGCTGTGGCACTTGTCAGTAGCCTGAGAGCTGTGTCACTTCTCTCTGCCACATGTAGAGACATCACCAACTCTGTCAGCAAAGTCCTAGCCTCCTACTGGAGGGGGAGGGTTGGGGTGTGCCTGCTATTGATCTTGGCCAGGACATCATCAGTAGTGTCCACCACTCATGATGACATAGCACTTGGGGTCAAATGTTAACCAGTCATTTGCCAGGATTCCCTATGACCCACCTCAACCATCCTCTTTTTCCAGGATTTTCCATAATTAATACTGTCATCATTTCCCAAGATTCCCTACAGCTAGTGGTGTCACCATCTCTCAGGATCCAGCACAAGCATGGTGTCATTATATCCTAGAATTGACCATAACCAGTGATGTCCTTGCCTTCTAAATCCGTTATGCCTACTGGTGACCTTCTCTATCAGGACCCATTAAGACTGATGATGCCAGAATTTTTTCCCAGAATTCCCTTTGATTACCTCCCAGGATCTGCTTTACCCACGTCTCCACGTCCCAGGACCCACCATACTTTGGGGTTATCACCTCCTAAGATCCTCTCCAGTCACAGAGTCCTCCATGCCCCCCAATCCACCACAACTGTGGTGTGCTCATCTCCCAGGAGCCATGAGAGCCAATGGTGTCTAATCAACCTCAGTGTCTTCGTGACCTGTGATACGTGATGGTACCTAATAATTCATCATCTTCTTCCAAGATCTGTGGGAGCCATGGTGTTTCCACCTCCCAAGATCCACTTCCACCATGTGCCATTACCTCCCATCCCTGGGGGATGCCATGACCAGAGACGACATCCAAGATCTGTGTCACCATGTGTCCAGATCCATGAGAGTCAACAGTATCAGCACCTCCTAGAGCCCACTGCAGCCATGTTCTCATCATCTCCGAGGAGTTATCACCACTGGCGTCCATCATAACCATGGTGTCATCATCTCCCTTGATCCGTGACACCCAGTGTGTCCCCATATACCAGGCAGCCATGTGCCATTGCCTCCCCAAAGCCACCATCTGAGGGGTCGAGTACATGACAGGTTACATTTCAGTTGTCCTCCAGGGTCAGCAGAACATGCCATCTTCCCGTTCCCTCAAATGAGTAGTGTGGAGCCCGCTGCCCCTCGGATGGCATCACCCCACTGTGCCCTTCCTGATTATGCCACTGCCTCTCTCCTGACAGGGTGGAGGCCCAGATCAGCCCCATCACAGGCTTGGCCTTGGCCAGCATCCCTTCACTCCTGGTGAGGGTACCCCCAGACAGCATCACTGCCCCTTGCCCAGCCATCTGATTGGTGACAGGGTCACCCAGCGACCTCTCATCAGCACCAGAGTTGGGGCACCCCGGCCCTTGGATGGTATCACTGGCCCTTGCCTGAGCCTTGTTCCCTGGACCCCACCAGGATCAGAACTTACTGGCTCCGGCCAAACTCTCTTCGAAGGCCCCTGGCCCTGTGGAGGCTCACCCAGCTGAGCCACCTGTGGCTGTCAGCACCGCCTCTGCTGGCCTGACCCTAGGAGCAGCAGCCCCTGCTGGAACCACCTTCAGGGGCTAAGGGTGCTCCTCCGCCCCCTCTCCAGCTACCAGGAGTGTCCAGGGAGTCCCCAACACCCGACGCACAATCTGTCCCAATTCTCTTTGTACATAGCCATGTTGCAGGGGGTGGCCATTCCCCGTTCTTAAAGGGCTACATGCCCCCCTTCCCCAGCCCCCAGGGCGAGGTGGGGGGGCCTCTTCTCCCTCCTCTGGGCCACCCCCTCCCTTTTATGTCTCCCCCCAAATACTGGCCTCTCAGCTCCTCCCTTCTTGTCAGGAGCCTGGGGCACTAATTGAGCATACTGAGGAAACTGGGGGGCCCCAATCCACCTAGGCCCCGGTGCCAGTTTTTCAGTCGCATTGCTTACGGCTGCTCTCATGGGCTCCCCCCCCACCCCGTCCCTTCTGAGGCCTCCTTCCAGTGTGCTCAGGCCGACTCTGACCTCCCCAGAGGAGCCAGCTGGAGCGCCACCCAAGCCTGGGGCCCCTCCCCACTGCTCAGCACCCCCAGTGAACACTCAGCTTTCTCTGGTCCCTGGAATCGGGAGGTTTGGGGTCTTTTAGCTGTGGGGTGCCCCCTGCACCTGCTCTCCCCTAGCCTGGACTCTAGGGATCTGGCCTCGCCCTCCACCCTCAGTTCACTTGGCACAGGCTGCCTGACCCTGGGGCCTTGACCTCTTAACTCTTAAGCCATAGTGGGGAGAGGTCTAGAGGGTGGGCCAGCAGGCGCATTCGCCTGTCCCCCTTGAGGCTTATGGAGCTGGGACCTCACCATCTGTCTTCCCCCGCGCCCCCAATAAATGCACACAAACACGTGTGCACATGGGCACACCCACGCACAAGCACCTCCCTCTGACTGGGGGCTGCCAAGGGGCGTCACTGAAAGTGACAAACAGTTCCAGACCAGGAGACCCTCCACAGCTCTGCCCACCCTTCCCCTCCTCACGCCTCCCTCCAGCACTGGACCCTGCCTCCATTTCCTGGTAAGGACAGCCCAAGGAGCTGAGACTTGGTATTTTTTGGAATAAACTGACGTTTCCTGATCTGTGGTCTCCAGGTTTTCTGGGGCAAAGGATGGGTCCCTGGGGTCACCCACACGTGTAGCTGATGGCAGGTTGGTGTTTCTCCAGGGACACTTCTAGTGTCTACGTCTAGGTGGCTCAGGGACAGCCCTCGCCCTGACCACCACGCTGGGGGTGCCAGTGGGGTCGGGTGGGGCAGGGTTGTAGCTGGCTTTTAAGTTCTGGATCTGTTCCTCAGAAACTTCTCCACTCTGAGCATGTAAGCATGTGTCTGCAGATGCTGGAAGTCATATGCTTATATCTGAAAATTTTGACTAAATATCATGAAGAGGAAGGGCAGGGGACTTTTCTAGAACTGCAAACTGGGTGGCTTACACAACAAAAGTCGACTGTCTTGTGGTTCTGAAGTCTGAGGTCAAGGTGTGAGCAGGGCTGGTTTTTTCCTGGGGGCACAGAGCGAGAACCCACCCCAGGCCTCTCCCCAGCTCCCTTGTCTTGAGGTCACTGTCTTTCCCTGTGACTATCCATGTCTTCCCTCTGCACCTGTTTCTGTGCTCACAATTCTCCCCGCCCCCCGCTTTCTTTTTTTTAAAGACTGTCAGTGTCGTGTTGGGTGAGGGCCTCCCTCAAGACTTCTAGAAAGACCAGGCTCCAACACCTTCCTCCTGCCTCAGCCTTCTGGGTGGCTGGGACTGCAGGTGGACATCACTGGGCCTGGCTTCCAGCATCCCTTTTATGGGGGGTACCAGGGATTGAACCCAGGGGCACTTAACCTCTGAGCCACACCTCCAGGCCTTTTATTTTTTTAAAATTTTATTTGTTGTAGTTGTAGGTGGACAGAATGCCTTTATTTTATTTGTTTCTGTGGTGCTGAGGATCGAATCCAGTGCCTCACACATGCTAGGCAAGCACTTTGCCACTGAGCTACAGCCCCAGCCCCCCAGGCCTTTTATTTTGAGACAGGGTCTCCCTAAGTTGCCTAGGGCCCCACTAAGTTGCTGAGGCTGGCTTTGAACTTGCCATAGTCCTGCCTCAGCCTCCCAAGCCGCTGGGATGACAGGTGTGTGCCATCACGCCCAGCCCAGCATTTCTTTTGAGGGATATCCTAAACGGGGGAAACTGCACGGTGCAGCCCTTCGAAGTGTCAGTTTTTATGATCACTAGAAAACATTCCCCCTCCCATCCAGGGCGTTAGAACATGTGCAAAGGGATGGGCAAAGTTGCCTTCTGGTCTTAGAGCTTGAGTAGACCACAGCAGGAGAAGAAGGTGTCTCCACGTACTGGTTCTACAAACTTTCGGAAAGTTTTCCCCCAGGGGCAACTAAGTGTTGGCCTCTACTTCAAAATAATTTGCACACCACTGTGGAAAGAGATTGGAGAAGGATAAGAGACAAGGAAACAGAAATGCTGGGGTGAGAACGCACGGGGACAGAATGGTGGAGAGGCCGCAGCTGCCAAGCCTTAGTTGGAGATTCCGAGAAGCCGGATCCTATTTTCTGTTATGCCGGTTCACTAACTTATCCAGCAAAATAGTGAACAGAACAAACACTTTCCTGTTCTTGAGGAGCAAGGACCCACGGATGTCCCTAAACCCTCCCATGAGTCTCTCTTGATCGGACTCCTGTTCCTGGCAGCCAAATGCACCCTGACGACAACAGTGACTGTCAGAGAATTCAGAGAAGCAAGGGGAAGGCCAACCAACAGCTCAGAGTCAATGCTATTTGTGTTTTTATGTTTTCTTCCAGAATTCTCCTTATGCAAATAATTTTCTCACAAAACAGAATTCCCATATGTAGGCTGCTCTGCTGCTCTTCACCTGTTATCACGAGGGTGTGAAGTCACGTGTTTACGCACCACGTGCACCCAACTAAGTGTACTTGCTGCAGGGAGAGAAACAGGAATTCAACAGAGTGAGGCAGTCCATGAAAGAGAACGTGGGTGCCCTTCTGTCTGCCCACTTTGCTTGGTATGGAACAATCTCCAAGACGTTTTAAGTAGGAAGGCAGGATACAGAACAGTGGGTAAGCCCTCATTTGTGTGAAAGGAGAGAGGGGTAGACTCCAAATATAAACTTGCTCACCGAAGACGCCCATTCTCCTTCAGGGCCCGTGGTAGGATTCCACTTCCCTGCCCATGCGACTGGCCCTGGCTGGTCAAACATGAGTGGACGTACTTTCCAATGGCGTGTTGGAGAGCCCTTGTGCCTTCCTGTCCCTCTGCTGTCATCCCTGGTGATATCTGAGGTATTGGCTCTCTTTCAAACTGGACCCAGGATGATGCCACACAGGGGCCTCAACCACCCCACAATGCACGTGTGGCACGTGACCAGGACGTGGCCTTCCCATGCCAGCCAACAACCTCGTTATGTTCCCAAGGAAAGCAGTCTCCTCTGTGCACACTGTGCTCTGGACGGACAGGTCAAGGGTGAGGCCTGACAGGGGCATTCAGCCTCCCACTTTCCCCCTGGGCCTGGCGCGCGCGGGCTCCGTTCCCAGCAGTAGTGTCAGTAGGCACAGCCTCTGGGCTGCTGTCCACGGCCCCAGCTGGATGAAGTCTGCACCAGGCTGCTTCCTGTTTCACCTCTTCCTGTCTCACTTTATATTCTGTAACTTGCAGAAAGTTTCAAGACTCCTGCATCGGCTTGGCCAGTCCCCTGTGTTGACATTTCACAGCGGGGCTTTTTGGTTTTCTTTGCCACACAAATATCCATGGTGTTTCTTGGAGGCAGTTAAGAGTAGGTCCAGGGGGCTGGGGATGTGGCTCAGGCGGTAGCGCGCTCGCCTGGCATGCGTGCGGCCCGGGTTCGATCCTCAGCACCACATACAAAGATGTTGTGTCTGCCAAAAAATAAAAAATAAACATTAAAAAAAAAAGAGTAGGTCCAACATCATGCCCGTTGCCCGTTGCCCCTGGGGACATTTCTGAAGAGCAAGGACATTCTCCTATGTCCCACAGTACAATGATCACTGTTAGGACTCAACATTGACCGTCCATATTCCACCAACTGTCCTGAGATTGTCCTGGAGAACAGTTTTCTTTCCAGTTCCTGATGGCCTAGGGCCAGGGCGTCCTCTGGCCAGCATGTCTCTTGAGGACCTTTGCCTTTAACAGTTCCTTTGTCTTTGTTTTCAATGAGGGGTGTTTTGAGGAGTGCAGGAGCCTACTTCGTAGGAGGGCCCTGTGTTTGGGCCCTGAGTTTCCCTCCTGATTAGACCCAGCTCAAAAGGATGTGAGTCCCCGTCCCTCCACCCTGGAAGCCCTGCCCTGCTCAGTGCGGCACTGGTGCCCTTGGTAAAGTACAGGCAGGCTCCCTGCTGTGGACCCCAAACCTAGCCCACCCTGACAGATTCAGGAGGGGCCAGTAAGGAGGTAGTCTATGTTAAAGGAGGTCATGGGGCTCTGATAGGATTCAAGTCCTCATAGGAAGTGATACCAGAGGGCTCTATGCCCCCACAGGAAGAGCTCAGTGAGACTGGGTTGTCTGCAGCCACAAAAAAAGTCCTCAGTGGAAACCGGAACTGCCACACTGTGATCTTCAACTTCCAGGCTCCAGAACTGTGAGAAAATACATTTCTGTTTTTTGTTTTTTGTTAAATATCTTTTCAGTTGTAGATGGACACAATATCTTTAGTTGTTTATTGCTACATGATTCAAGGATCTAACCCAGGGCCTCGCACTAGGAGGCAGGCGCTCTACCACTGAGCCCCAGCCCTAGCCCTACATTTCTGGTTTTTAAGCCCCTCTGTGACCAATGAGCCCCTTGGCCAGGGCACCAGAAAGGTACTATTTTTCCCTTTGCAGTTAGGAAGTGCCTCGCCTGGAGGACACTCTGAAGCTACAGGTATCTTGTTCCTCCTCAATTTTCCACCTGCTGCTCCAGCCTCCACAGGTGACTCTCCTGCCTGAATCAATTATTATCATGATGTTTGAATATAGAAATCTTCAAAACATTTGCATATCAGCCAGGCACAGTGGTACACACCTGTAATCCCAGCAGCTGGGCAGGCTGAAGCAGAAGAATGTGAGTTCAAGGCCAGCCTCAGTAACAGCAAGACCCTGTCTCTAAACAAAAATGTAAATTGGCTAGAAGTATACCTCACACACACAAGATTTAAATATCATTCTTCAAAAGATTGAATAGCAACGTTCAGATGATACTATTCTACTTCATTATTCCTTCAACATTTATTAGTATTTGCTAATGGGTTTTTTTTCCACTTTATTTTGCATTGTTGTTGTTGTCATAGTACTGGGGGTGGCACCCAGGGGTGCTGTACCATAGAGCTACATCTCCAGCCCTTTGTATTTTTCATTTTGAGACAGAGTCTAAGTTACTGAGGCTGGCCTCCAACTTGCAATCCTCCTGCCTCAGCCTCTGAGTTGTTGGAATTACAGTCATGCACTACTGCTGCAGGCTCATGGCTCATTTTTCAGGGAAAAGGATCTAGCACTTTCATCAGATTCCTTTGTTATGGGCCAGGCTATATGGGCAATGACCAAACAGACTCCATTTTACCCTGAGACTCCATAGCATGTAAGAAATTCTTTTCCCATGGGAAAGCCCCGCCTCTGTTCCCACTAATAGTTTCCTAGCAGAGCATACTTGGCAACACAAAATAGTAATTCTTATACAATGTAAAATTGTTCTCTTTGCTTTCCATTTTTCTGGGGCAATGCACATTGTCAGAGATCGATTGTCTAGACGTTAGTAACCACTCTCTAACTTGTGCTGAACTAGGGTCATTTTGACCTCCTTCCCTTCTGCTTGCTTGCTACTATGCCAACCTGGAAATTCCCATGGGAAATACCAACTTACCCATTGCATTGTCTCGCTAACTGCCCAATTCAGCTTCTGTACCTGCATTCTTGCAGCTACGTCAACCCAGATGTGGTTTTTGCCTTTAAATATCCTAAAATGCTCAGGCTCGGGGCTTTTCCTTGTAGAGACAGTTAGGGGTGCTGCAGGGAGCAGTCACCAGCCGGCTAGCTAAATAAAGACTCTTCAATTTGGACAAAACTGGGACTCGGTATGCTTTCTGAGTGACCTGCCCCGAAATGTTTGGAGGCCCCAGCGAGATCTACTTTTCTTGCATTCTGGCGGTCGCACAAGGAAGGTGAGGTGGTGGAACGATCACCTAGGGGAAGGCCTCTGAAAAGATGTTCCTCAGCCCTAGGGCCATCTCTCCACCAACCCCCACCCACCTAAAACTACAAGAGTCATCTGTTTCCCCAGGGAAGGTAAGTCTGGTCTCCCTTGGTCCCCTGGTCTGCGTCTGGTCTCCCTTGGTCCCCTGGTCCGAGTCTGGTCTCCCTTGGTCCCCTGGTCCGAGTCTGGTTTCCCTTGGTCCTCTGGTCCAAGTCTGGTTTTCTGTAGGTTAAATTTGTCTTTGGCGCCTTACCTGTTGTGTGTTTCATTGTCCTGTCTTGTTTATTGTTTGTTATTGTTTGTCCCCTTTCTGTTTTACGTTAATTTCTACCTCAGTTTGTTTCTAAAGTTAAAAAAAAATGGTTAAAAGGGCACTTAGGATTCACACAACAAATCCACCATGATTTCTGATGGCTCTTGTCTATTGTGTTGAATTGGTGCAAACCAGCCCCATCTGGGCTCAGGTGTCCCCAGTTTCCTGGGGAAAGCAATACTGAGGAGCATCTTCCTGTATACCACTCTGCGCCCTCCGTCAGTCCCTCAGGAAGCCCTCCCGGAGGCAGACAGTTGGGTGAAGGCCTGGCTGCTTTGGAGGACTTCTGCCAGACAATGCCAACTGCAGCACAGACAGCCTGAGTCCATCCATCTGGGTGAGAAGTATGTCTGCTCCCATTCTCACCCTGGCTGGGCACTTCCCGCTTATTCTTGGCGTCTTTTTCAGAGCAGTTAAGGAAGCCCTGGGCTCCAGGGTTTGTGTCTGCCACTAGAGGGAGCGCCTGGTCCACTTAGGAGCACACTTAGGAATCAGCAGCGATGCTCTCGCCAGGAAAGCAGACCTCTGCTCTGGAAGCACAAAGCAAAGTGGTTCCCACAGCTACCCACGCCAGTGTGTACAGAGACTTCAAGCTGCAGCCATGAGTGGCTGCGTACAAAGATTCAGGCTGGTCAGGGGCAGGGAACCACAGCCAGCGGACTGAGAAGCCCACTGGGAAGAAAGGAAACGCAAATAAAAGCGGAGACACTTTCCTTGTCCCAGGACTGCCACTATTTTGTTAAATCTTCATTCAAATGTCACTTTCTCACTGCAGCTGCCCATTTAGACTGTGCCCCAGCATTCCTGAACCTCTTTCAGCCTGCTCTGATGTTCACAGCTACTAACTGACTTAAGGAATATGTCTTAATAACTACAGGCTGAACCCAAGACCCTCACAGTGTGAGCACTGGACACCCTGCGTCCTGGGTTGCCCCTGGCCTCAGGACAACCCCAACAGTCATCACCCACTCTCAGTACTTACTGTTAATCACCTGTCTCCCGCTGGCATGGAAGCCCCAGGAGGACAGGGATTTTGTCTCTAACGCGTCCTTTGATGTGTCCCAGACACCCAGAACAGTGCTTGGCATGCTGCTGGTGCTAAATAAACATGTGCTGCAGAAGCAAGTCACGTCCTCATGGTAAGAACCCAAAGAGGAGAACCTGCCAAGGACCACTTGGCAGAATGGCAAGTACACACACTCAGAGCCTGTGGGATTCCAGAGTTTCTCCAAGTTTCTCCTGCAGAGCTGTTCACAGCTGTGCCACAGACGAATGCACGGGACACTCACTGTGGCATCTGCCCACAGCAGACCCTGCCTGGGTGCCATTAGATACAGGACACTTCTGGAGGAACAAAGTGCAGTTTAAGAGTTGAAGGCAGTCGCTGACGAGGAGCTGCCAACCTGTGGATGGACGGGCCTCAAAGTGTCCAGGACACATGGGCAGAAAACATGGCTGCCAGTAGGGGGAGAACACAGAGGGAAAGAGGGCTGCGGCTCCTCTCATTGCCCTCCCTGCACTCCGTGGCCAGAATTCCCCCCAAGCACGGGTTTCTTTTATAATTTAACACTGAGGGACATGGGGACCAAGGCTAGTTCTGGAGCAAAAATTCAAGCCAAGGGGCAATTTAGGTTTCGTTGAGGAAAAGTAAATTTCAGAATAACCAAAATTTATGAAGGATGAGTGACTGTCCCCACTCATCCTCTGATAATTCCTGCCCATTGCTAGGCCACTTCTTCAAATCGCCTTTCTCGCCCCACAGCCACCACCCTAACCCAGGTCACAACCAACTGGATGCTGGACTTTGCCTCCACCCTCAACATTCCAGGATCCTCTCCAGATGGGAGCCAAGCTGGCACAGATCCAGGGAGAGCACCACCAAGCCTGCCCAAGGCCTCTTGAGGCCCGCAGACCCTGGCCTCTCTTCGCCACCTGTCCCGGCTCAGATTTGTCTGTCTCTTTACCCCATCCTTCTCGCTTCTTGCAGTTCCTCCCATCACACTAATTTCTTTTTAAATTCTCTTTAGGTATCAATGACTTGGCTGGGAGTGTAACTCAGCGGTAGTTTGCCTAGCATGCATGAGGACCCAGGTTTGGTCTCCATCACCACCAAAATAAGCAAATGGCAGCTGTATTGAGACATGATCCATATGCCTTCAAGTCTACCCATCTGTAGTGCCCACTTCCGTGTCTTGTTAGTATGTCCCCAGAGTGCAACATTGGGACTCAGCACCTGCCACACCCAGGGAGCCTGTGCTCACAGTTATCCAGCCATCACTCCATGCCCCTGGCCCTGGCAACCCCTCACCTACTTGCTCGCTCTGTGGATTTGGCTGTTCTGGACATTTTGTGTAAATGGAACCATATAATGTGTCTTTTGTGACTGGCATCTCTCACCTAGCATAAGGATCTCAGGGCACATCCCTTCTGAAACACACATCACTGTGCTAGCCCTCTCCATGGCTGAATAACATTCCAGCCCATGTCCGCCCACGCACAGCTGAGGGCCATCTGGGTTGTGTCCATCTTTTGGCTATTGTGCACATGCTTCTGTGAACATCTGCATATGACTTTGTGTGGACAGTGTCATTTCTCCTGGGTAAGCACCTAGGAGTGGACTAGCTGTGTCATGTCGTAACTCTTGAGCCATTTGACTCTATCCACAACAGCTGCATCATGTGACACACCCACCTACAGTGTGTGAAGGTTACGGCTGCACTAAATTCTTCGCTTTCACTTGTTATTGTTATGTTTGGTGCTAGGATAGAACCTAGGGTCTTGCACATGCTAGGCCTGTGCTATACCACTGAACCACCCATCAGCCCTTTTTTTCTTGAGACAGGTCTTGTTAAGTTCTCCAGGCTGCCCTCGAACTCGCATCCTCCTGCCTCAGCCTCACAAGTCACTGGGATCGCAGACACACCACCACTGCTCAGCCTGTTACCATCTTCTCCTTAACCACTGAGCCACATCCCCAGTCTTTTTTTATTTTTTGAGACAGGGTCTCATAAAGTTGATTGGGGCCTCCCTAAATTGCTGAGGCTGGCTTTGAACTTGCAATCCTCCTGCCTCAGCCACCCCAGCCACTGGGATTGACAGCCGTGCACCCTGGTGCCCGGCATGTTGCTGTCTTCTTGCCAGCCCTCCTACTGGGATGAAGTGCCTCTCCTGAGGTTTTGATTTCCATCCCTGATGGTGGTGATGTGAAACGTCTTTGCCTGTGTTCAGTGGCCGTTTCTATATCTTCTTTGGAAGAATGCCTGTTCAGCTCCTTTGCCCATTTTTAACTGGGTTATGTGTCCTTTTGTTCTTCATATGTTCCAGACGTCAGCCCCTTGGCAGATCCTTGGTTTTCAAAAAAAGTCTTTTTCCATCCTGCAAGTTGCCTTCCACTTTGTGTGTGCACGTGCAGGCTTGTGGGTGTGCAGTGTGGGATGGAACCCAGGCCTCTGTGCGCACTAAGCTAGACCTCAGCCTTGTCTTTTCACTTTTTTTTTTTTTGGCAGTGCTGGACCTTGCAGCACTAGGCAAGCACCCACCACTGACCTAGCTACACTCCCAGCCCATCTTTCCACTTCTTTTAATGTGTGTGTGGTGCTGGGGACTGAGCCCAGGGCCTGGTGCAGGTGAGGCAAGCGCTCTACAGATGGAGCTGTGTCCGCAGCTTTTCACTTTGGATGGTGTTCTTTGAAGCATGAAAGTTTTTAATTTGAAGTCCAATTTTCCTATTTTCCTTTTGTTGTTTGTGCTTTAGAAGTCGTGTCTCAGAAACCACTGCCTGATGCATACAAGGTCATGAAGGGCTATCCCTATAGTTTTTTGGGGGGTGGGGGTGGGGGGTATTGGTTTTGGCTTTTGGTGGTGCTGGGATGGAATCCATGGCCTTAGGCCTTCTACTCAAGCACTGCTGAGCTATACCTTCAGTCTCCTGTGGTTTTTTCCCTAAGAGCTGCCAATCTAATATACAATGACCCAAAATGACATCTCAGAGAGCAACTACACTCCTACAGGTGAGTCACTAATATTTCCTCTTTTCCAATTCTTTCTTTTTGGTACTGTGGATTGAACCCAGAGGTGCTCTGCCACTGAGCCACATCCCTGGTCCCCTTTATTTTTTATTTTGAGACAGGGTCTCATGAAGTTGCTTAAGATCTCGCTGAGTTGCAAGTTGCACTTGCCACCTCCTGCCTCAGCCTTGAGTCACTGGAATCACAGGTGTGTGTCACTACACACAGCTCCTCTTTGCTTTTTAAAATGACAGTGATGTTCCAGTTACTGCTTTCCCTCACGCACCCGGCCTTGGCCCAGCCTGCCTGGCACACCCTTCTCTCACCCCACCCCACCATCCTGTTGATGCCCCCCTCTCCCTTGGCCCTCAGCCCGGGCATCATCTCTTCCTGGAGGCCACCAAGTCCAGGTGGTGCTCCACTGCTATGAGCCAAGAGATGGCCTAGAGCTGGCATGATGATGTGTGCCTGCAGTCCCAGCTACTCGGCAGGTAGAGGGGGAGGAAGACGGCTGGAGTCCAGGAGTTCAAGGCCAGTCTGGGTAACACAGGAAAACACTGCTTCAAACAAAACAAACAAAACGGCTGGCACTTGCCCCCAGAGAAAGCAGGTTTCCACTGGGGTCATTCAAAACCTCTCTGCCACTGCCATAAACTCAGAGTTCCCTGAAGGCAAGGGTCAAGCCTGGTTTTGACATCTGCCCCTTGCTCTTTCTGCACAGCCCCTGACACAAGCCACACTGATAGGGCACAGACAGATGCCAGTGGAGGGAACATGAGGTCCAGGGAATGATCCGGTAACTGGCCTGCTGTGCAGACCCCCACGTGTTATTTCCCAAGAAGCAATTCACCTGCAGCTCTGCCTGGCTTCAGTGGACAGGATACACTAAAACCCTCAGTAAACTACCTGTTATCTGCAAGAGGAAGGCAGGCCTGAAATAATGTTGGTAAGAGGGACCCAAGTTACCCTGAAGGGAGATTTTGTGTACCCTTTCATAGGCCAGACCCTGAAACTCAGGGAAATAAGGATAATTCCTCCAAACCATAAAATATGTAAGAATTTATAGTTAAAAACCCAATTAAAACTGGTCAGCATGGGCCAAAGTGACCTAGAGTTCTCATGGCAGTCAAGTCAAGGGTGGATCTGAGCAGGAATCTGATAACTTCTCTAGGATCACCAATAAAACTGGAGGGCAGGAAGGGCAAACTGTCCCTCTCCTCTCTGAGAGGAACTACTGTCTCCCTTGAGAATGTCCCCTTTCCTATCCCTTCAATAACCTCATACCTATTTCTGCAAGTGACAGGTCTGAAATCTTTCTGATTTGATTGCAAGAGGCAGGGTTTGAAGGGGGTCTTCACAGTGCCTCAGTTTCCCAGAAGGCCCCAGCTCCTGGATGATGTCCCACTGTCACCACCTCTCCCTTGGTAACGGTGACATCCTCACCCTGCCCATCTTCCCACCACTCCATGGCCCATCCTGGATCCCACAGAGTCCTGTGGTGGCACAGAGAGCACAGAGCCAGGTTCCAATCCCCTCACTCCTGGCGCTGGCCATCTCTGTGAGACCCTCACCCACCGCCCTTCGCGTCTGCCATGCCGCCACACTCCCCCAGCTGTCCTGGACCCTCTTTCTCTATGGCTGCTCTCCTTTGCCATCCCTTCTCAGGGTTTTCCAACAGCCTCCTCCCTGGCCCTTCCACCTCCACCTCGCTGAGAGTGGGCTGAGACAACCTGAGCCATATCATGAACTCCTCTGCTCAAGACCCTGCAGTGGCGCCCGATTCCCGCAGAGAAGAGGCCAGAGTCCTAAACTAGTCCTAGAAAATGCTCCGTGACACCCCACCCCACTACCACACTCCACCTTGCTCACTCTTTCCCAGCCCACCTGCCTCTGGGAAGCTCCTGAGGTACGCGAGACCTGTGTTCCCACTGATGGGAATGTCCTTCCTCTGATACCTGTATAGCTCAACTCCTTCAAACTTGGGTCCCGTTGACACCTGTTCAGGAGGCCTGCCCTGACCTCCCCACTTTCAATTCACCACCACACAGCCTGGCACCCCAGGCCCTTTTCCCCTACTCTACTCGTCATTTCCATGACACTGCCTTCTCAACCACATTCAGTCACGAGTCACCGAACAAGATCTGAGATCAGTGTCATTTGGCAAACACTCTGCCTTTACTTACATAATGACGTAGGATGTAAGATGGGCAGGCCCCTGCATACCTAGGACATGAGGTAGGCCTACCCTCCACAGCTGCAGCCACGCAGCACATGACCACACTAAGTACGGCAGGCAACTATAACCGTGGTGTCTGTGTATCTAAACATATACAATGTGAAGTAAAAACACTAGGCCATAGGTTTCTTTAGTTCCAATCCAATCTTGAGGAACCACCACCATAAGTACACAGTCCATTACTGACCACGATGGTGCTATGTGGCGAGTGACCCTGTCTGCACGCCTTCCTTGTTCTGCCTTTGTGTCTTCCCTCACTCCAACAATCCCATAGCATCCTCTTCTGCATCCAGATTGGTGCCTGACACATAGCAGGTGCTCAATAAACACTCACCGAATGGGTCAACGCTTTCAATTTGTCCAGCATTCTGCTAGGGGTGGAGGCCCTACCAAGACCCCTGCTCCCCTGGCACTGATCTTCTAGTTGAGGGAAACAAGTAAATAACTGCAATTCTTTTTTAAAAAACTTTTTAGTTTAGGTGGACACAATATCTTTGTTTTGTTTTTATGTGGTGCTGAGGATCGAACCCAGTGCCTCATGCAAAAGAGCTCACAGGCCCTGCAGGATTGGGGTATCCAACACATAGTGGAGAGGAGGGCCCTTGAGGTTTTTTTTGTTTTTTTATCAGGAGTGGGGCACCCCAGCTTTGTGGTTTAAAGCTGGGCGGGGAAAACACAGCCTGAGGGCCACCTATGCCTGCCACTTGTTCTCAGAAACAGCTTTGTAGGCACACAGCCACACCCATCCACTGTCTAGAGCTGTGATGGCAGAGGTGAGTAGGCTGGCACCAAGCCCAAAGGGTCACAAGGTCCAAGAACCTTTACAGGGAAGGTCACCAGTCCAAATTTATGATGAAGATTCAGGGTGCAGGTGACCGTTTCCCTCTCCCTCATCCCATGTCAAATCAATACCAGTTCCTGTTGGCATTCCCTGTGGAGTCCCATTCCTTTTCCCATCCCACTGCCACCAGTCCTACTGGAGCCACCATCTCCACCTGGACCATCACACATGCTTACTGGCCTCCTTGTTTCTGCCCACAAGGAAGATGGAGGCATGTCGCGCTCCCCAGTGGCTCCAATGCTCCAAGAAGAAACAAAACAGACACCATGGCCCAGGAGGCCCTGCAGGATAAATCAACTTCTTCCCCTGACCTCAAGCCTGGGCAAGAACCCATGATCACTCCTGCCCAGCCTTGATGGCCTTCTGCTGGTTCCCCAAGCACTCAGCAAGATCCCCCTCACCAGGCCTTTGCACGGCAGGTCCTGAGTTCAAAATGCTTCTCCTATATACCTCCCCACAGCCCTGAAGGTCATTCCTCAGGGAGCCCTTCCCTGCACAGCCAAGGCAAGACCTAACCCTAACCCTAACCCTAACCCCACTCTGACCTACGGTCCTAGTCTTCATCATTCACTGCCATGACACCTGAGGACCTACGTCTCACTGTCTGGCTCGCCCATGATAGCCCAGGTCTTGTCCCTTTTACTTTCTGCTGGGTCCCTTCGGCTTCTTGCAGACACATGGCAGGTGAATGAATGCAGGCCTCCAGAGATAATCATGAAATCCACCTGCCAAGATTCAAGAGACCAAGTGTATGAAGAAATTAGAAGGGTGCCTGGCACACAGCACCCACATAATATTAACCTTTAGTGTCGCCAGGATGACCACTAGCTCCACCTGGTCCCAGGTTGGGGGTGGCCTCCAACTCCCTCAGTTTCCTTGCCTGTTAAATGGGGAGGAATCATGCACCCAGCTGACTAAACCGGGTGATCAGGCGTGTGAGATGCCCACGTGTGGCCAGTTCTCCACGAAATGGTCACAGGTTGCTGCTCTGCCGCAGGTCTCTCTTAAACGTCCCTCCTTCCTTTTCCAGGAAGACTGCCCCTGAGGCAAAGCTGGTGGCCAGGCTAGGCCCGAATATTGCTGGCCCTGCCCATGGCTGGGAAGGCCAGCAAACTAGGGACTGCTGTGGGTGCCCCAGGGTGCGAGGATGTGCAGACCTGCACAGATGCCCGAGGTGGGCAGCTCCCCCTGCACCTCCGGAAGGCCAGCCCTGGAGCCCGGGCCTCGTCCACCTGACTGACAGGAGGCCGCAGCTGTGCTTCCCAGGAGGCACAGCGAGTTCCAGAGAAGGCCCTGGGCTCTCCGCCCTTCCCTGCCATCCCTAGGGATCCCAGATCCCACTGGCCACGTAAGGAAACGGAGCTGGGCAGGACGAGGTCACACAGCGCGGGGCCAGCGGTCCAAGCCTTCGGGCTACTTGGGCCTTCTCAACGCAGACGTGTGCCAGGTCACTTCCTGCACAAAATGGCGCCCCACAGAAAGACCTCAGCGACTCCAGGGTCCACCCCGACCCTGGTGGAGAGGCGGGAGCGCCGACAGGCACCGCGAGCTTATTTGCATACACAAAAACTTCACGAATTTCATTGGCCAGGAGAGGTCTCTCCGCGTTCAGCTGGGCTCCCGGCGGTGGATTCCAGTCCTACCCGACCCCGCCTCTCTCATCAGGGATTGGTCTGCGCGAGTCTTGTTCCTATTGGCCCGAACGCCTTCCATCACTCTTTTAAAAACCCAAGTGCCGCTTCCTCCTCCTCCCCGGCCACAGAACAACCGTTAGTCGCGTGCGCGAGTTCCTCTGCGTCAGGACGCGCGCGCGCGTACGCGGGCCGTGGCGGCTTCTCATTCAAACGGCCCAATCAGCGGCAGCCCCGCCTCCCGGGTCTCCTTCCGCTTCCACTCCGGTTCTCAGGTCCTCCGTTTTCCCCGATCCCCTTTCCGAACCCCGCGCGCCCTCATTGGCCAGCCCGCCACGCAGTCCCCTCCCGAACGCCTCTCGCTTACGCCTGCGGCTTGCGGGGAAGGGGTCGAGTGCGTAGAGTCCCGAGGAACGTGCGCGCTGACGTCTCGGGTCAAGGCGCGCCTCGGGGCGGGGCTTTTGGGCGGTTATAAAAGCGCGGAGGTGCGCGCGCGGCTGGCTCAGTGCGGCCAGGCTTCGGAGCGGGCGGAGCGGCGGGAGCGGTGTGCGGTGGGTGTCGGAGGCAGCGGGCAGCGGAGCGGGGCCGCCAGGGCCGCAGCGGCCGCAGTTGGGCCCCCCCCGCCCCGGCTGGCGGCCCGAAGAGCGCGGGAAGGGGGCCGGGGGGACCCGCCCCCGGCCGGCCGCAGTCATGGTAAGCGCGGGCCACCGGGCCCGAGAGGGGTGGTCGGGGTCTCCCTGCAGAAGGAGGCATAGTCCCAGGAGCTTCTCAGGGGGCCTCAGACGCGAGGACCCAGTGGGGGTCTTGGGCTGGGATCCAACCCAAGGGCCTTTCTGAAGGCGGGCAGGGGCCCCAGCAGCCCGCAGGAGCCCTGGCCAGGAAGACCCGCAGATGCTCGGGGAAGGGTCTGGGCGCTCTGCGACCCGCCTGCGGGTGTTCCCGCGAGGGAGACGCCCGCCGCCATTTCCAGGCCTGAGCCGAGATTTCAAGGGTGGGTTTTCCCAGGCTGGATGTGGGACATGGAAACAGGCTAGGCCTCGGGCCTACCGTTGGGGTCCCGTGCGGGGTTGGGAGCGGGCCTTGGGGACATCGGAGTCGGGTGGAGCCATTAGAGGCCCCTTCGGAGACCTGCCCCCATTTCTTTTGGGAGGTCTGCCCGGGACCGCGATAAAGCATTCTGGTTGAGGGTCTGGGGGCCCAGGGGTGAGACCTGTAGGGTCAAGACTAGGGAGGCCACGGCATCCTTAGGCCCAGCTTTGCCGGCCACTCACCTTCCTCTCCCGACTACGCTCAGAACTCCAATGTAGAGAACTTGCCCCCCCACATCATCCGCCTGGTATACAAGGAAGTGACGACACTGACCACGGACCCACCTGATGGCATCAAGGTCTTCCCCAACGAGGAGGACCTCACTGACCTGCAGGTCACCATCGAGGGCCCTGGTGAGTGTGGGCATGAAAGAGGGAGGTGCTGCTTTTTAGTATCTTCTGTCGCCGGCTCTAGAACAAACAAGGCTTGAAAGCACCCATCATCAAGAGGCCAGGCCCTGTTAGGAGATGAGGACTGGTGGTGGGCAGGGCAGGCATAGCACTCTTGTGTCCACAATCCTATTCAGCAGGATACCACAAATGAGCGATCATGCATCCTTTTCCCGTAAACATTGAGAAGTTTGTTTGCTGAGAGCATATAATGGAGATATTAACCTAGGTTTTTGGGGGTGAGGCTGTCAAGTGTGGCTCCCCTGGGACCTGAGAATGGGTAGGTAGGATTAAGTAAGAGTGGTAAGAGAGTTCCAGGTGGTGGGACTAATATTTGGAAAAGTTGGGAAGGTAGTCCATACATCTGAAAGTTTATCTTTTAGTATCAGGAACACTGATGTAGTTGGGCATAAGCAAAATTCCGCATCGTGGGAAGATAAGTGATTGTACTTGATTGTTTTGTTTTGCAGAGAGATTTAGAACTTTGTTTTGTGCAAATTATGTTTCTGTTATCACTTGAATATTTAAAACATCAGCCAAGGGCTGGGGTTGTGGCTCAAGTGGTAGAGTGCTTCCCTAGCATGCTTGAGGCACTGGGTTTGAGCTTCAACACCACAGAAAATAAAATATAGTGTCTACCTAAAACTAAAAAATAAATATGGAAAAAAAATCAGCCAAGGTGTTACAAGAGCTTATAAAGGAAAGATCTAGTTAGGAGCGGTGATATGATCAAGGGAGATTTTCCTGAAGTGTTGACGGCTATAGGAATTCTTTCTTTATTGGTACTGAGGATTGAATTCAGGGGCACTTGACCACTGAGCCACATCCCCAGCCTAATTTTGTATTTTATTAGAGACAGGATCTCACTGACTTGCTTAGTGCCTCAGCCTCCCAAGCCACTGGGAGTACAGGCGTGTGCCACCATTCCTGGCAGGAGTTCATATCTTGCTATTTTCCACCATGCGACCAGCGCACTGGTTTCATTAAAGAGGTTCTTGGTATAAAAGTTAACTAGTAGATCAAAATAAACACACAGACTCAGTTACCTTTTTCTATGACCAGGTCCGAGACGGCTCCCCCTCTGGCTCTCACCTCAAACCACCCGATAGGGCAGCAAGGATTACTCAGGGCTAGCAGAAGAGAGAGAGGGGGAGCACGCCAGGGAGTAGCCTTTTGTTGGGGAACAAGAAATTCAGGGGAGAATTCCATCCAATGAAGGTTGAGGGGGGCTGCACTCCAAGGTCAGGGTCAGTGATTGGCCCCCGGGGTCAGTGGTCAGTCACACCCCCACATGGACAGGCTCTCGCACCAGAAGAGGGCCGGGAAAGCTCTGACACAGTTTAGCCATAGCGCCTCAGACCCAAACCGGGAGTTGCCCAGTCACATGTGAGAATGGCTCCCCACACTGTGTAGGAGGGTTGAAAGGTGAAGGGTCAAGAAGTTGGGGAGGCAAGGCTTCCAGAAAGGTCTAGAGCAGGCAGATCTGGGTGTTAAGTGGGAATCAAAAGAAGCAGTTAGAGAACAGATCTTTTAGGGACACTAAGGCTTCTAAGGAGCTTGGGGAAGAAGCTAGTAGTGAGGTTAACGGGTATGACAGATCCTACTTAGTTCCTTTGACCTGCAAGGAAGAAGTTAGTGGCCTGTTGAGAAGCCATACTTGAAAGTGGGGTCACGTTCAGGAGATTCTGAAGGGCAGCTGCCCAGTTGCTGATGTGCTGGATTTGGGGGCTATGTGACGGTAAGACAGTCGTGGTTCCCACATTTTTCTACTCTAGCAGTAGGTAAATGGAGAAGTTGTGTACTGGGCTGGGGAAAGGCTGTGGAGTTGAAAACTGTTGTTCTCATTTACCAGGAAAACAAGTGGGCATCAGGTCCCTGCTTCCTGGGAGAGAGAGAAAGGGTGTCCAAGGGGGGATGTCAGTCATGGCCCCTGGTACACTAGCTTTTTGCTGCCTCAAGAATTCTTCCAATCTAGGAGAAGAGATGTCAGGCACTTGCCTCACATCCAGACCCTGGAAACTGGGCTTGGGGTGCTGGGAGTCCTCAACCTCCTGACCCAGTCTCCTTCCTTCTACCCAAGAGGGTACCCCTTATGCTGGAGGTCTCTTCCGTATGAAACTCCTGCTGGGGAAGGATTTCCCTGCCTCACCACCCAAGGGCTACTTCCTGACCAAGATATTCCACCCAAATGTGGGTGCCAACGGTGAGATCTGTGTCAATGTGCTCAAGAGGGACTGGACGGCTGAGCTGGGCATCCGACATGTGCTGTTGGTGAGTTCTGGCCTGGGCTTCCCAGTAACATGGGAGCCACATGCTTTGTTTTCTTTTTAAAAATCAACTCTGAAGTACGGGGGATTTTCACATAAAAATTCAGGTTCCCAATTTTTCTGAAAAATTGTGGAAGGGTTGGGTCTAGGGCACCGAACAAGTGGTGGGTTTGTGATTAGAATTGTGTCCTGGCAGGTACATACACATCAGTGTCTGGTTAGAGGATTCCCCCACCCCCTTAAATTTTATTTTAAATTTTTTTATTTTGAGACAGGGTCTTGCTAAGTTACTGCAATCTTCCTGCCTCAGCCTCCTAAGTAACCAGGATTACAGGCATTTGCCTGGCTTCTTTTTCCTTTTGATTTGTTCAGCAGTTTTTTTAGCAACGACAAGGTCTATGCATCCGTCTCTGCTGTCTGTCCTAGATTGTTTCCTACATGGTTTATCAGCCAGGGTGATTTTGCCCCTGGCCTTGTGGAGATGTCTTTTGGTTGTCACTGCTAGAGAGAGGTGTTGCTAGCACCTTGAGGTGAGGCCAGGGATGCTTCTTGGACTGCCCACAGCATCCCAGCATTGGCTGAAATAGAGACACCTTGGTCTGGGCCTTTTTCTTTTCTTTTTTTTTTCAATTTCAATTAAATTTCTAATAAGCCCTTCACCAGATAGTTGGGAAGATGGGAATTGGGGTTTCTTTGGGGGCATTGGGAAAGCATTAAGCTTAATGGTAACCAAACCCCAAACCTTTTCCACGCATTCTACCTTCCTTGCCCTGTGGTATATGCTGAGCTTCATCCTGCCCCTGTAGCAAGGCATTCAGGCCCCAAGTTTAGGTAAAAATTGTAGGTCCCTGCATCTCTGGTCTTCATCAGTAGTATCTGCTGGGCTGGCTGTTCTGCATCTATTATAGTAGCCCCTGAAGTGGGGTCAGGGGAAGATACTCTCCATACTTAGAAGCTGTAGCTAGTCTGCCCAGACCCACTTGAGAGGATCCACCAGGGGCTACTTTAGGCCTTGTTACTCATCATACCTGTTACCTGGGCTGACGAGGGTATTGAGGACTCGTCCCCTTCCTGGCCTGCCCTGAAGACTTCCCTTTGGCCCACTAGTCTCTTAATATTCTACCTCCTGATGCCTTTCCCTCTTGGTTGTTGTTGGGCCCTGCCAGAATCCTATGGCTGTGAAATTTGGGTTCCTGTTACAGCTCTGCATTTCGTGTTGTAGAAAGACAGAGCTCAGAGCTGTGGAGCCCAGCAGCCCAGTCCTTAGTGCCCTTGAGTCCCTTCCCTCTTCCATTTAGGCCTCTGTTAAACCAGTGGGCTCTGAGAGGCCTCAAGGGACTAGGAGGAGGAAGCCACCAGGCCAGGCTTGCCTGTAGCATAGCTCCTATGGGAGCATTTACTGTGGGTGTCAGGAAAGTAGCCTGGCCACTCGGGCAGAGGTAAGGATGCAGCTGGAACTGGCCTTCGAGTATTGAGTTGAGAAAGGGAAAAGCCAGCATGAAGGGCATGAGGCTGGACAATTTCAGACCCCTGAAGGCTGCTGGGCCCTCTCCCCACAGACCATCAAGTGCCTGCTGATCCACCCTAACCCAGAGTCTGCGCTCAACGAGGAGGCAGGCCGCCTGCTCTTGGAGAACTACGAGGAGTATGCTGCCCGGGCCCGCCTGCTCACAGAGATCCACGGTGGCGCAGGTGGGCCCAGCAGTGGGCGGGCTGAGGCCAGCCGGGCCCTGGCCAGTGGCGCAGCGTCCTCCACGGACCCTGTGGTCCCTGGAGGTCTAGGAGGAGCTGATGGTCCCATGGCCAAGAAGCACGCTGGTGAGCGCGATAAGAAGTTGGCAGCCAAGAAAAAGACAGACAAGAAGCGGGCACTTCGGCGGCTGTAGTGGGCTTTTCTTCCTCCTCCCATCCCTGGCTAAATTCCCCTCCTAACCCTTCCCTCCCACGCTGTCTCTAAATTATTTAAATTATGGCTGGGGTGGGGGAGGGTGTGGGGGACACTGGGACCTGGATTTGTTTTTCTAAATAAAGTTGGAAAAGCAGTTTCTACGTTTGGCAGGTGCCCTGGGACCTGTGCTTATATTGTTGTTTAGAGCATGAGGTGTCCCTGCTCTGCCCCCAGTCCTCAAAGGCTCCTAGGCTAGTTTACTGGACTTTCCTTAGGGTTTGAGAACATCTCGCTCTGGGAATGGGATTTCCAGTCTAAAATGGGGTGGAGCCCTGGAGTCTGCTCCCAGCAGTCTATGTGTCCTGCCCTTGCTCTGCCTCTGAGTGAGCAGGGATTTGCAGTGACCTTCTTCCACAGTCCTGGGGCTTCAAACAAAACCCATCTGTGGTTTCTGCTAGAAGTTAACACAGCTGAGCTGCTTGCTCAGGATTTCACAGGTTGATATTGATGCTATTAAGTCACACTCCTTAGTCCTCTGTACAAAGCTTATATATTGTTGGTTTATTTCAGTGCTTGGGGTGGAGTGGGGCTGAGGACTTCTCAGCTCCCATATGCTGCCCCTCCACATCAGTCCCATCAGGAATGACTTAAAACCCATCCCTCTAAGAATATTCCAGTTAGGCCAAGACTTCCCTAATATACCCAATCGCTAGGGTTATGTCCCTTCCTGGTGTCAAGGTCTGATCTCACTGGAGGGCAGGGATTATCCCTGTTGTGTACACCAGGGGGTGGTATGTGTGCTGCTATTCTGTGAACAGGCTTGGGTTAAAGAGTTGAAAGCAGTAAATTGTCAAAGTAACAGAAAATAACCAGGACACAACTAAGATTTGTGACCCACCATAGGTGGATGAAAACTTTTTCCCCTGGTGGAAGTGGTCAATTTGTATTTTGATGCTGGGGATTGAACCCAAGGGTGCTCTACCACTGAGCTACATCCCCAGGCTTTTTTTTAATTTTGAAAGGATCTTGCTAAATTGCCCAGACAGCCCTTGAACTTGCCATCATGCCTCAGCCTCCCAAATAGCTCTGAGACTTTGGCTGCCTTTCTTTTTTTTAATATTTTGTTGTAGATGGACACAGATGCCGAGCAACTGGAACACTCATGGTGCTGGGGTTGAACCCAGTACCCCACACATGCCAGACAAGTGCTCTACCACTGAGCCACAACCTTGGCTGCCTGTGCCTTTTGTGAGTAAAACCTTGAGCTGCGCAAGGTAAAAGGGCCTGTGGTGATTGACAGCAGGAGAGGATGAACTGAAAACTGTGAAGACAACAGGTCCCAGGGTAATCACACGGCAGCCACAGAAGTGCTGTCTTCAAAACATAAAGGCACACTTGAAAGTACCTTCAGGGAATAAAATAAAGGACTGTGATAGTGGACCTGAAGGGTTGAGGGTGTAGCTCACTCACTGGTAGAGCACCTGCCCAGTAGTGTAAGACCTGGGATGGGTCCCCAGCAACACGAAGAAAAGGAACAAAAACCTATAGGAAAAAAAATCAAGATTTAAACAAAGGGGCTGGGGTTGTGTCTCAGGGTAGAGCACTTCCCTAGCATACCTGAGCAAGGCAGGCCCTGGGCTGTATCCCCAGTACCACAATGAAAAGAAAGCTAATTCTTTGAGAAAAGCAATGAAATTGGCAAACCTCTAGTGATAGTGAGAAAAAAGAAAATATGATTTGCCAGTATAAAAAATGAAAGTAAGCATCACTACCAGGTCAAATCCTAAGGACATTAAAGAGTAAGGGAATATGATAGACAACTTGATAGCAGTAAAATTGCAATTTATATTAAAAGGACAGATCCCTCAAAAAACAAGAATTATCCAGATACACACAGGATTAGATGATCTGAGTGGCCCTGTGATTAAAGAAGTTGGATTCATGTTTTAAAATTTTCTCAATGAAATCCTTCACATCCATGAAGTAAGCTAAAATTGAAAAGAAATGAAATTCTAGAACAGGCAAAATACTGATAACTAAGTCTGACAAGGAGGCAGACTAACTGGGACCCTCACATATTACCCACAAGTATAAAAAGTTAAAAATTGACTTATTTTTTTAAAAATTGGGGGGGCTGGGGGTTTAGCTCAGTGTACAGCACTTGCCTAGCATGTATGAGGCCCTGGGTTCAATCCCTATGACCACAAAAAAGAAAAAAATTCACACATGACCCAGCAATTCTGTTCCTGGATATTTACACAAGAAATAGAAAAACATGCCACATTTACATAATGACTTCAACATGAATCTTATAGAAGCTTTATTTGTAACAGGCAAAACTGGAAACAACCCAAATGTTTCATCAACACATGAATGAGCAAAGAACCTGGTGAATTCATACAATGGACTGCTCAGCTGAGACCCCAAAACAACATGAATGTCAAAAATATAAAATATAGGGCTGGGGATGTGGCTCAAGCGGTAGCGCGCTCCCCTGGCATGCGTGCGGCCCGGGTTCGATCCTCAGTACCACATACAAACGAAGATGTTGTGTCCACCGAGAACTAAAAAATAAATATTTTTTTAAAAATTAAAAATATATATATATAAAATATATAAGCTGAGCTAAGGCATATAAGAAAAGTGAAAGAATACTTGATTCCATTTATATGAAAATTAATAACTGAAAGCAGGACATTGGTTTTCTGGAATCAGGTGAATCAAATGTTCAGCTATGAGAACATTTTTGGGGTGATAGGCATATTCTAGTTGACAGTGGTCACATGAGTGCATAAATGTGTCAAGACATCACTATATTTTAAGTTTTTTTTGTTTTTTGCATTACTGGGGATTGAACTCAGGGATGCTCTTACACTGAGTTATGTCCTCTGCCCTATTTATTTTTTTATTTATTTTGGTACTAGGGATTGAAGGCAGGGGCACTTTACCACTGAGATACATCCCCAAGTCTTTATTTTTTGAGACAGTCTCACAAGTTGAGAGGCTAACCTCCAACTTGGGATCCTTCTGTCTTAGCCTCCTGAGTAGCTGGAATTATAGGCATGTACCACAAAGCCCAGCTCTATTTTTAAAATAATATGTTTTACTTTGTGTAAACTAGACCTCAGTGAATTTTCTTTTTGAGAAATTTTCTTTTAGGGGCTGGGGATATGGCTCAGTTGCTAGAGTGCTTGCCTAGCATGCACAAGTCCCTGGGTTCAATCCCCAGCACCAAAAAAAAAAAAAAAAAAAAAAAAAAAGGGCATTGTGTTGTGTCCATCTATACCTAAAAATAAATATTAAAAAAAAAAAAGAAACTATCCAGGCTTGGTGATGCACTCCTGTAGACTTGGGAGTGCTAAGGCAGGAGGACTGCAAATTTGCAACCAGTCTCAGCAACTTAGGGAGACCCTGTCTCAGTAAAAGGGGCTGGGGATGTAGCTCAGTATTAAAGCATCACTGGGGTCAATCCCCAATACTTAAAAACCAACAAAAAAGCTGGAAAAACAAGTCAGCATGATAAAAAACATCTGGAAATATACAACTCAAGACTCATCCAAAATATATAAAGAGTTTCTACAAATCAATAAGGACAGGACAATACAATGGAAAAGTTGGCAAAAAGACTTAAGTGAGCACTTCACAAAAGAGGAAATGCAGATGGCTACTAAACACATAACAAGGTATTCAACATCATTACTGATTGGAAAAATGAAAAACGTTAACCAAAATTGATACCACTATACTCCCATGAAATTACCAACAATTGGGCTGGGGATGTGGCTCAAGCGGTAGCGCGCTCCCCTGGCATCCTTGCGGCCCGGGTTCGATCCTCAGCACCACATACAAACAAAGATGTTGTGTCCACCGAAAACTAAAAAATAAATATTAAAATTCTCTCTCAAAAAAAAAGAAATTACCAACAATTATAAAATCTGATAATACCAAGTGTTGACAAAATGGTGGAACAATAGAAAATCTCATGTGCTCTAACTGGAACAGTGAGATGGTAAAACCTTGTTGAAGGTATGCATTCCTCTTCCCCTCCCCCAGTACTGGAAATTTAACCCAGGGAGTTCTACCGATGAGCTATACCTCCAAACTTTTGATTTTTCATTTTGAGACACAATCTCACTAAGTTGCCAAGGCTAACCTTGAACTTGCTATCCTCCTGCCTTAGCCTCTAGCCTCCTGAGAGGTTGGGACCTGTAGCTGAATCTCATTAACCAGTATGCTACACATAGTCCCTAAGACAAGTCTGTCATTTTGTTGTAAGAGAGTCTGGGTCAAGAGCAGGTTAACTCAGTAGACCTGGGTTGCTCTAACCCTGCACATTTCGAAGCAAGCCCGTCTCAGGAACTCTGGCCCATGACTGGTTCCTGGGAGGTATAACTCTGGAGCCCTTGGAATATCCTGGAAGGCAGGTGTCTTACTGAGGCCTTGAGCCATGCCTACTGGGCTCCCACGTGGGCGCTCCACTCGGGCCCAGTCAGAACGCTGGATGCCAAGGCTTGGTGGAGCGTCCCTGGTTGGCAAGCCTCACATGTTGACGGGTAGTCACACAGTATTGCTGGGAGAATGAAGTGTGTCCTGTGGCAGTCCACTGGGAGTACTCTGAAATACAGTAGCAAAAACCGGAACTGTCCCCAGTAGGAGTACTGGTGACATGGACCTACACATTTGCTGGCTGAGCACCATCCCTGTGCCAGGAATTGTGCTGGGTGCTGGCGGGGGGGGGGGGTGGCAGGCAAGAAGAAAGCCGAGGCATACACTGTCCTCTGTTTCCAGGCAAATGGGGAGACATACTGTGAGCCACATGTCAACAAGATGAGCACAGAGTGCCAAGTGAGGCAGCCTCCACACGGGAGCAAAGCACTGGGCTAGCAGAGGACGCCAAGACACCACAGGTCACACTGTGCTCGACCCATTCATACAAGATGTCTGCTGCCTGCACACGGCAACTGGCAGTTGCCAAAGCTGGAGGGAGGTGGAGGATGGGAATGATGTTTCAAGATGTGGAGTCCTGTTTGCATGATGAAAATGTTCTGGAATTAATGGTTGTGACCACACAACTTTATTATGAATAGACTAAAAATTACTGAATTGTGCACCATAAAAAGGTGAATTTGGGCTAGGCATGGTGGCAGTCCCAGCAACTTGAAAGGCCCAAGGAAGATTCCCAAGTTCAAAGCCAGCCTCAGCAAACTAGACTGTATCAAAATAAAAAAGAGAGCTGGGCATGGTGGCACATGCTTATAATCCCAGTGGCTGGGGAAATTGAGGAAGGAAGATTGCAGGTCGAGTCAGCCTCAGCAACTTGGCAAGACCCTGTCTCAAAAAATGAAGCTCTGGGATGGCTCAGTGATTAAGTAACCCTGGGTTCAATCCCTGGTACCAAAAATTAATTAACAAAAAATAAAAGGGCAAATCTTACATTAATTCTCAGTTGAAAATTTGTTGAGAAAAAAATCTTGGAGCTGGGTGTGATGATGCATGCCTGTAATCCCAGCAGCTCAGGAGGCTGAGGCAGGAGGATCAGAGTTCAAATCCAGCCAGTTAGGATTCTTTAAGCATTTCAGAAAGGTGTCTAGATAGGGAGACACTAAGCAATTTAGTGAGACCCTGTCTCAAAAAATAAAAAGGGCTGGGGATGTGTGCTCAAGTTCAATCTCGGGTATGGAAAAAAAAAAAAATTGGCTAAAAACCACACACATTTGCCATCTTTTCATGCATGCACTTGGGCAGTTCTGCCTCAGCCAGGGTCAGAAGGCTGGCAGAACCTTTGCTGGGTCCTACTCACCAGCACACAGGTAGACAAGTAAGACTGACTGCACCTCAATGCTGAACTGAAGCAAGGGTGTGGAGAGGCCTCACTAGGTGATGTGGCAGAATGAGCCAGTGAGCCACATGCACAGACCAGTGTCAGAGGTGAGGTGAGCCAAGAGGTGGGCCTCCTCAGGCGGGAAGGATGGGAGGTTTAAGCAAGTTCAAGCCACCCAACTCCGACAACAACCCTCTTGGTCTGGGTTAGTGATCTGAGAGGGAAAAGGCAGGGTGTGGCAGCAAGGGTCCAGGAAGACAGCAGGGTTGTCAAGAATCCAGCAGGGTTTTTGAACTGGGTAAGGCTGAAGTAGAGGTTGCGTTGAGCTCTGGAGGTGTCAGCCCTCAAAGGCACATCACAGCCCAAGGACCCCCTTTGTCTGTGGCCAGGGATCTGGGATGTTAGATTCTCGGCTCATGACTGGCACACAGGAAGCATGGCAGGATCAACATGGGTAACATTTTCCCCATTTAGACCTACTCCATTGGTACTGTGGGGCTGACACCTGCCTCACAAGGTGACTGGGGGTACACAAGCACCTACGTAAACATGTGTCTGTGTGCAAATGATCCCTGACTTCCAATGAGTCAACTTTTGATCTTTTTGACTTTAAGATGGTACAAGTGACATGCACTCAGTACAAACTGTACTTTGAATTTTGTTCTTTTCCTGTGTTGGCAACATGCAGTATAACGACTTGGCAGGCTGGGCAGCCACTCAGACCTAATATTACAGTATTCTGCTATACTGCTGAGCTGTGTCACTGGGTAGACACATCTGGACATAATCAAAAGTGGAGACAAGGTTCTGCTTCTCACAGTACATGTTCTAGTATACAGACCATTGATAATTACTAAGCACTTAACTACCTGCAGCCCCTGTCCTCAGCTCTTTGGATTCATTAACCCACTTCATTCTGGCAAGGAAGCAGAAGTGGAATAGCCCAGTCAGTGGCAGGACTCTGGCAGCCCATATTCAGTGTGCATGCAGGTCCCGATGTCACAGGTTATAACAAACACTAGGAAGCAAACACACAAAGAGCTGGGGAACCCAGGAGAAACTACATACATCAGTGAAGATCCCTTCAAAGGAGACACTAAGCTGAGACCTGACAAAGAGCCTCCCATTTGGGACCACCTGTCTTGTCCTCAAGGAGATGGGGCATTTATGAGGCTGGCTGCTGGCCCCCCTACTGGGTAGCCAGTGTGGACTAAATGCCCATCTCCAAGATGGGGCCACATGAGGTAGCCCCCTGCAGCTCAGGCCCAGGACATGCAGGACTCTCTCATCAGAGGACTTCACTCCTGTGGGCCACCAGGTTCCAGGGTCCCAAACCCTACTGTGATACCAAGGACTTAGATTTGGGCTGAGAGCACCATCAGGGCCCACAGCTCCTTGGATGCTACCATTCCAGGCTGGAAGAAACCTCACCCCCACCCCCCGTTGGGATTCTTTAAGCATTTCAGAAAGGAGTATCTAGATAAGAGACAAGCAAGCCTTTTTAGGAAACAGTTGCCTGCCCACCTTCCTGCATGTCCAACCCCGATTATCCCCTCAGAAAAACACTTGGACACTTAAGAGATTTAGTGAAGCTGCCTGAGTGACAACACAGAGGGCCAAAGAAAGTCAGCTGAGTCTTTATTGCTTTAGAAGGCTTGAGGCTCAAGAGCTCTTAGTGGGGCGCGTCCGCTTCCTCTTCACCATCACAGGCTTCTGGCTGCGCAGGATGGCACTGGCTCTGCGGATGGCAGCCTGAGGGCAAGGGCAGAGTGGGGTTCAGCTAACGGGATCAGGTCACCCCAAGGACCTGCCTGCCTCCCAGGTCCATGTGGGGGGGGGTCCCTGGGGTGGAGCTCAAAGGAAAGGTCCCTGACCTTCCCAGCCCATGCCTTCCCCCCTTACCCAGAGGCCCTCTGAACACTCACCATACGCAGGTCCGGGCGGTACTTGTTCTTGCGAATCATGTGCCTGATGCTGCTGAGTGTGGCCCGTGCATTCTTATTGATGGTGGTCCGGACATAATTAGTAGCTGGCTTTCGCTGGCCTGGTGAGGGAGTCTGTGGGTCAGTTCAACTGCCTAGGCCCTAGTGTGCCTCCCGGGTAAGAGGATACAATCTCACCCCAAGAGTCAAAGCACCCTTGGCTGTGAGTCTGAGGAAACTACTGCCCAGCCATTCCCCCAGCCTCCAGGACCAGGCCAGCAGACAGCCTGCCTATCCACAAGACACTCAGGCCAAGGGCCCTCAGGGAATGTATACCGACCCCATCTTCACAGTGGTCTGAAATACAGAGGCAACAGGATAAGGACTCTCAAGGCCCCATGTAGCAGAGCTAACTGTTCCTAAGCTAGACCCCATAACCACAATATTCCAGTGTTCCAGGGGCTTCCTTATCTGGCATCAAAAAGATCTTCAAAATTCTTCCAGGCTCTCCCAATACCGTTCATGTGAAAATATCCTTTTCTTGTATCATGAAGCAGCCATCCATCAGGACATAGTTAGAACTAACAAGCCTAGCCAGAACCATGCTCCTGATACTGGGACATAAACAGCTTCCCCAAGACACCAGGCTGTCACCATGCGGATTTTTAGCCCCAAAAAGGCACTCATGTGTTCAACAATTCAAGAGAGGAATCAAAAGTTCTTAGGATGTATGCCTCCAGAATGGTCCTCAGGAGAACTCTGAAGTCCACTAGGGAAATCAACTGGTGACTCCTTGGGCTGCGATGCTCCCGAGAAGAGACACTACTCCCTCCAGGATGGGCAGGAGTCACTGAGGTCACCAGGCATTGAACCAGAACAGAAGCCAGTCCCACTGAGAACCCAAGGAAAACTCGTTATCTTAAAAACCCCAGGTGGAGGTGGGTATCCCACAGCAGATCCCTGCCTCCCTTGACCTCCCACAAGTACTCTGGGCAAAACAAAACAAAACAAGCCTATCTGCCTGAGAGCACAGTTTAGCAGGGTGGGCTCTTCAGGACCCCTTCTCTTTAGCTCAGCCAGCAGAACTCTGGGATAAATGTCAAACTGATACTTGGACCCAGCGTATCATCTCTACAGGGAAAGAAGAGACAGTTCCTTATTTGTCTCAATTTTCACATCAGTGAGACCAAGACATCACCCCACCTGAATTGTCTTGAGGACATCTGAAAACATCACACAACTGCACAACCCAGCAACCGAACCGTCTCAACAACCCCCTGAAGCTCGGGTTCTGTTAGTTTCTCTTTACAGGTAAAGAAACAAGATGTGACCTAGCCAGCTCAGATGGGGCAGAGGGGAGGGGCTTCCAGGCACGCTCCACTCCCCAGCAGAACCCGTCCGCTGGCCCGAGGGAAGCACCCCAGTTCCCAGCCCGGGAAGGGGCCCCTATCCGACGACGCTCACCGGATCTGCGCTTCATGACCACCACTACGCCTTTGCCGTCGGCCGCGGGCTCCACGCCCACAGTCTTGCGGTGAATGAGCCCGTTGTAGCGGAAGGAGTTGCGGGCCTTCAGGTTATTGGGCTCCTGGGAAAGGTGCAGGGAATGTCACTGCCGCCAGAGACACGCGGAGGCGGCGCCCCCAACCCTCCCGCGGTGGCCAGCTGCCCCGGCCCACTCACGGTGCTGTACGTCTGCTTATTCCTCTTGATCAGGAAGCTGGAGCAGTTCCGCACGACCATCCACTGCAGGTGCGCGGACATGGTGCAGGCTGCGGAGAAAGCGGGCACGAGAGAGGCGTCAGCCCGAGCAGCAGGCCGGCGCTGGCGCACCGCGCCTCGTCGGCACAGGCACCCTGACCCACGTGCCCACGGGGCAGGCAGAAGCCTCCGTCGGGCGGGGCTGATGACCCCAGGAGGCGGACCGAACGCGGCGGCCGCATCTGTAGGGACCGGGGAGGGGAAGAACGTGACTCCACAACTACGGGCAACAGGGGTGGGGACCGCCAAAGACCCCAGGTGCCAAGAGGGCCAGGCCGGGCAGCTCACACCCCACGGCGAGCGAGAGATGGCGGCCGCGCCGGGGGGGGAAAAGAGAGCGCACGCTCACCTCCTCTCGCTACGACGACCGGAGACGGAAAGAGGCACGCTTGGGGCGGAGCCACGCCTTTAATACCGCATACGCATTTCCGCTTCCCCTCCGAGCGCGTACCTGAAGTCGCTGGCCTCCGCTTCCTCCCTCCTTTCGGCCCCGCCTCCGAGGCTGCTCCGGGGCTTTCGGCTATTTCCGCCAACAGTCGCGTACCGCTCGGGAGCCTTCGGAAATCCTCGGGTAAAGAGGAGGAGGCGTGTTCTCGACCGTGGAAAGCCTCGGTTCCGTGGTCGCTCGGAAATTTTCGGAACTCTACGGTGGATTCCGAGTGGATCCAATTCGAGAAACCTCGAGGCCTATTTCTCAAAGACATCGCTCCAGTATTGCTCACCCAGCGCTTGGCACTGTGTGCGGCACATAGTGGGCAATAAATAAACTCTTGGGAATTTGAAAGAGTGTGTGATTTAAACATAACCCTGGCGTCTTCGGATTCTAACGCTCTTCTTCGTAGGACCTCGACTATTCCCGATGGGGATACTGAGCCTCGCTCGGGCATTTTCGGAATGTCCGAAGTCGCTCGGAAGGGTCAGCCAGCTGCTTTACCCCAGTCACCCAAGCATGGTTCGGATCTTTTCAGAAACATTCGGTTTCCATTCGGCAACGTTCGGAAGCCTTCGGTTAATCCTTTAGTCCCTCCCAGCAAAAGTACCCCAATCTTCTTGAAATCTAAAATTGCTACCTGGAGTTTGGGGAGAACCTAGACATAACTGTCTCTCAGACTGCCACCCCAGGGGGGAGTGAATTTCCTCTAAGGACTAGTTTGTTTGAAGGAAGGGAGCTTTACATGTGACTGTGTCTGGTTCCCTTTAGTATTCCAGGGCGGTTCGCCTAGGCTCTTGCTTGTGCCTCAATGCCTCCGCCCTAGTTACCCGCATGGGCTCCCTGGAAGCGCGTTTCCGTGGACAGAGTCAGGCTGGGGAGCAGGAGCCCTGCCTGATGTGTGTCCTCAGCTTCCCTAGCTAGGCCTGGCCTTGGGGGAGCCCCTTAGGAGACACCTACTAAGGACACCAGGAGTGAAAGTGCCCGTGCCACCTCTATTGCTGCACCTTGACTCGGTTTCTCTGGGAGCTCCTTGAGGGCGGGGACCCTGTCAGGTCCACATCTGTGCCCCTGGCTTCATCCTTCACCGGTAATAAGCCCTGACCTTCGGGCTTGTCCTGCTATGTCCTTTAGCACACTCTAGGTCTGATGGATATCAGTCCCTCCAGTGAGGGAGTTCCATCTTTGCGCCTGGGGAAGTCCTCGGTGTCGCTCAGGGTAGGCCTATGCTAGCATGCATGAGGCCTGAGGGTTTGATCCCCAGCACCAACAAAGGAAAGTGAGAGAAAGCCTCCGCCCTTTCCTCCCTTATGGACGTTCATTTTCTGCATCCCAGAGCTCCTTGGAGTCCGGGGGCCTTAACTGCTCTTGTTTCTGACCCCGGCAGTGTCCACCACGGGGATGTGGGCACTGAAGAGAACAACGCCCTGCTGCCTCCATCGTGGCACCCTGAAGTTCCACCAGGAATTTGCCTGGCGCTCCATGACGTATGGGACCCTGAGCAGCCATATCCGTGTGCCTGCCGCACCAGCACAGGCCCCTGAGGGTCGGGCTGCACAGGCCCTCAGTCAGGCCCCGGGCCGCCGCGCCCGGCTCGGCTCAGGTGACCCAGCGGGCCCCGGGTCCACCTGGCCCGGGCCCCAGACCCCGCCCCGGGCGGCCGCACCCCGGAACGCTCTCTCCCAGAGCGCGCGGCTAGCAGGGCCAGGCCATGGCGGCGGTGCCGGCGGCGTGCGCCTCGCAGGGGGCCCCGCCGGTGACAGGAGCCGCAACAGCGCCCGCCCCTGCGGCCGGCCTGGGCCGCTGCCGCATGGCGCTGCTGCTGGCCGTGGCGCTGGACGTGGCGGGCATGGCGGCGCTGTTGACCGGCGTATTCGCGCAACTGCAGGTGCGCGGCCGCGACTTCGGCGACCTACTCATCTACTCGGGCGCGCTGCTCGTCTTCCTGAGCCTGCTCGGCTGGATCCTCTGGTACACCGGCAACATCGAGATCTCGCGCCAGGAGCTCGAGCGCGACTACGGCCTGCGGCCCTCGGCACTCGCCCGCCTGGCGCGCAAGCTGTCCCGCCGCTGGTCGGCGCCCGCCGCCGGCCCGCGCGCAGCGCCCGGCTCCCTCGGAGCGCGCCGAGCCGCCCGCGCGCCCGGGCCTCCCGCCGCCGGCGCCCGCCGCGTGCGCCTGCAGCTCGCCACGCTCGAGGCCGGGCCGGGGGCTGCAGGCACTGGCAACGAGTGAGCCCCAGGTGAGCGGAGTCCGGCGGAGACGTGGAGGTGGAAACAGACCAGGAGAGATGGCG